ATATATATATATATATATATATATATAATATCCCGTGTCGCTTAAATTGGTAACATTCACTTATTCATTGCAGTAAAAATACGGCTCCTTAAGAGAATACGCTGGTAGAGAATATCGGGGACATTGACGAAGATGCTAAAATGATAAAGGGAATTTATCACTCATTGATGTAGAGAAGGTACTCACCCAGACCATCCACCTGTATCCCTGTCTAGACGTGGCGGATGTACCAGAGGAACTTGCTATCACCGGTCGAACAGATCCCATAGACGCGACAACCCCACAAGCGATAGGACCGTTTAAAGCCCCAGTGGGTGGTTCTTCAGTCTGTAAAAAGAACAAATAATAAAATGTCAATAAACTGAGAAGCATTTCACCTATACACGGTCCGAAAACCAGGATACAAACCATCATATTACTGAAGGGCCGTTTTCATAAGCCTCTTGCAGCGGCGCATGAGATAAAAGCGGGATTTATTGTAGAGAGAAACTCAGCAAGCTGGAGTTTCCAAAGGAACGCTGATAATAAAATGGATAAGAATGAGCGGCATGGTAATGAGACAACTTCACTAACATCAAATTAGTCTGACTTGGTGCTCGCGACAAAAGTTGAAGATAAATACTTTGTTAGAAAGATTGGAAAGTTTACGATGAATTCGCATACGAAACATCAATTTCTACAAAAACTAATAAATGGAATTACGGCTTTAGGTCGTGGATGAAGTTCTTGAGGAAGTTCAACGAGGTAGAGATGCGCTGAATCACATAAAGGAGTGAATATATAGGTAGGTAGTGGGATGAACATCGCTAGTAGCTCATCCGTGTCCAGCCAGTAGGAAATCACCGGCACAATTCTTATCTGTAACGATAATTTAAATAAGACGCTCGTATACATGAAACATGAATCCACATGAGGTGGAAGTTCTGACACTCACCTGATATGCGATTCTGGTTAACATGCGTAGTGCATGTGCATACTCATTTTCTGCAATGGCATACAGCAAGAAGAATATCATGATTCTACCGCCGACAGAACCCAGAATGCGACTTTCGTCTGTTCCTTTAGCTTCGGATTCGTCCAGCTGAAGGTCACGCAGTCCAGATACAACCAGCCACGTAGGGAGAGCATGTGTACCAACACGAACTGCTTCTCCGATCGAATTGGTGCCAGAAGTGGACAATGTGATCTGTTGGATCAGGCGACGATTAATCTGACGCAATGTGTCGTGGCATTCAGGGAGAGCATTACCAGTGTGAGTCCCATCGCTTTTAATTGGGTGGTGTGTGTCAGTTGAGTTGGATAGAGTTTGACAGAGCCAGTGCTGAAGAGACCAACCGAACGGAACCGGTAAATCTGAATGAATCCCTCGGTTAGGGTCAGTGACTGAAGATGCATAGGAGTTGGAGGAATCCGGCATTCCAGCTGAGGTCATTAGCACCCGTTCACACAATAACCGTCCGTAGCGAGCAAGAGTGTCTAACAAACGTAGCTTTAATTCCAAATAGCTAAATGTAACTTTTTCATCACGTTTAAGTCTGAAACAAAGGGGATAGGTCGAGAACCTTATCATTTAATCAAATCACAAAATGAATGAAAAATTAAGACCAGTGCGTAGAAAACAGTCAGTCTCTGAAATCATGGAAGGCTCTTCCCAAGCACTTGATGTCTGTGGGAGATAAATGCTTTCAGGGGGCTAATCTATACATATCCGGTATGTGAGTGAAAAATATTATCGAGTCTGATTTTTTTGAAATACAAACACCGATGATTCTGTCTTACCCTTTTTGGGGTACCTGCAAAGTTGTCGCAAGACTGGGTGGAAGCAAACCAGAAATCCATGCTTGCAGGTGGTGTCAGTAGTAGATAAATTTGTTGATTTGTAACTATCAGTCCATGTGGTTCAGCTAGGGAAGACGATGCCATCCAGATAGGAGAAGCTTTTGCTAACGTGGAACGTGTATTAGAGACGTGAAAGCAGCTTGTCTGACAAAGGTTGTGTATAAGGTACTGCTGTGCACTTCTTATTGTTATGCGGGTCGAATATCTGAACTACGCGTGGAGTGGACGTCAAAAATAACCGATTTTCGACAGTCGGTGTCTTCGGAGGGTTGACCGAATTTGGTGGGAACATCGGACCACATGCCTTTCACATATGGCAGCTGAGTTGATGGTATCTAATTGGTGATTCTTCGTCATGTGCATTGCATGCCAGTGGATAAACGTCCTCACAGTATTCCCTGCATCACCATGTGGAAGGTGTAGGCGAACCCGGGGAGGTCAGACAATGACGTAGAAGCGAAGCAAAGGCCATCTCCATCAGATGACCAATTATGCTGGTAACTGCACTGTCCTTGGCTAGAGAGCACAAGACGAGATATAATAATGGTTATGGGCACTAGAACACGACCGAATCACCAAATCACCCACTGGAATGTATGTAGCTCAGCTATGGCCTGCAATGTATAACTCCGTTTCTCGATTTCCCAACAACGAATAAACTAGTGGATTTACCATCAAGGGCATCAAATTGGCTATGCACTCTTGTTTTTGAGCTTGGACGAAAATGTGTTAACTAGAACCATCGTACAAAATGCATACGGCTTGCAATCGACGATGGGGACGAGGATAGTAATGATGACTCTACAGAACACCCTCTGCAACACTAGAGGAACACATTCATGAGTTTTTTTACGAAAAGGAACGACCAAATGGGACAGCAATCACGCTAACTGGATTGTCTGTCCACGGGGGTTGGTTATATCTAGAATGGAGGTAAAATAGCTGAAAACGCCATCCAAGGACGACACCAGACATGGGCCTCCACCAGCGAAGGGTGTATAAAGGACCACACTTGAGTATTCTTTACTCGAAAACGTATGTACTGAATCGCAAACAACGACTTCAAGAAAATAGTGATCTTCGCTACTGCATAAACGTAGCTTAGCAGCAACTAAGTTGACCTGTTAAGGATCGCAAATGCAATATTATCTATGGAGGAAAATCTTGGTAGCTCAGGTAGGGTAGATGGTCGTTGTTCGCTGAGCTGGGCAATTTGATTGCAAGCGTTTCATCACCAATCGAGGTGACACCATCAGTGCGTTATTGGAGAGCGTAGTTGTGCGTATCGTAGCACAACCACTAATCCACCGCTACGCACCACTACGCTCCCCAATAACGCACTGATGATGTCACCTCGATTGGTGATGAAACGCTTGCAATCAAATTGCCCAGCTCAGCGAACAAGGCAACGACCATCCAATATTATGGTTCAAAAATAGATGACACTGTCGCCTAAGGGCCTTACAGGCTACCATAAGAAATTTCTATTGCAACTACTTCTACCATCGATTTCCGGTATCGAGCACCCGAGCCACCATCAGCTCACATCGTATGTGTCAGTGCTTCTCTGGCAGGAGAATCAAGGTTGTGGCATATGCGCTCTATAGAAACCGCTGTTTGGTCTATGAACCAGTGAACCAACGGAACAGGTGAGTGTGTGGATACTTCAACGAAGGTGGTGTGATTACTGCTAGCAAGTGTGAATACATGGATACGTACGTACGACATGACCAGAGGAAGTGGATGTCACACATTACTAGGGGTCAGTGGCATTGTCTTACTTCAACTAATCCACGGAGGTACATAAAATTCGTCCAACTGCGAACCGACATTTTTTCCAAGTCTCTTGAGTCTGTTTGCCTGCATAAGCTTGGAGGAACAGTCCCTAGATCGGATCTCGTAAAACTCCATGGCAGTCCATGAACCTCCGTTGATCTGAATGCGCTGAATAATACCGGAAACCGTCTGGTGGATGATGCTAACGAGCTTCATTACTGCCTAGTCAGTGTGGCAAAAAACGATGATTCACAAGGAGCCCATTAACTTCACTGTGAACCGAAATGACTGTCCCGCAACTAAACCACGTACAAAAATGGGAGAAATCGAAAGTGATTCATGGTGCGCTTTCCTGAAAAGTGGGATTCCAGGACTTCAGATTACACGAAAGAGCCTCATCTAGCAAAGTCAAGTGAGTTGTGTGAGACTAACCAGCTCATTGAATATTTCAGGCCATTTGACTTCTTCTTATCTCTTATGATAAAACATGCACTTTCCCATCTCTAGTTATGAAAATTTTTCAATAGGCTGAGGTTGAATTCGCTATACCAACATAATCAGTTACCTGAACATCTTTTCGTAGCAGCGGATGGCAACGTTATAAGGAGGGTGAATTGCGCACATCATAAGAAAACAAACTAGTTGAAGTAACAGCTCAAGCTTGGAAGATAGAAACTGACTTGGACGGCTGTCCAGATAAGGATTCGCTCGAGGCGCGGAGATCTTCTGGAGTCTGCGGAGCAGGAAGAGAAATGGGCGTCACAGGTCGAGTTGCTGATTCGGTCGAAATTACAGAACCGTTATTCAAATTATTCCCGTTGGAGGCCGCGCTAATTGTGCTTGCTCGTCGCTGACTTTCACTTCCGGTGGTACCGCTTGACTGAGACGAGACTAACCTCATTGTGAGAAGATGATGGAAAAAACCTTGATCGTCAGTCACAAGTGAATCGAGCTCATCTGGATCCAAGATGGCCTTGTCTGCATCCAAAATATGACCGGAAATCAGCTTATCGGCTTTGGCCCAGATATACGCTCGGTTCTTACGGAGAGCTTGTTGGTCGGGGAATTTGTCGCGATAGGTGAGGGGCGTATCCAGGCTGACGAGTCGTCCATGAACTGAAGCCAGTTGATAAGAGAGCGACCGAGTCGCAGAGTTTCGACGCAGCGATCGCGGATTGAGCTTTATGTTCAACGAGCGACCCCCACGAGTAGTATGGGTACTAGCGTTACGACCTTCGTTTCCATCAACTATTGGATCCGAGCCCACATCGATGTTCATCTACAAAGGAGAGAGAAAAAAATAAGTAGGGATCAGTAAGTAAAACGGTTATAAGTAGTGTCGTACGATTGGTCAGAATATAGTGGTGTTATGACGCTCGTAGAGTAAGGTGTGGATGCGTAAACTACGCCGAGTTAGCACACTCGTCTTCGGTAACGTTGAGCTGCTACGTAGAGACAAAATTTTTCCATATCCTGAGATCAAGAGTGAGTGAGGTTTTGAACCCCTGATACTCGCATTATACGAGTGACACGCATTGTTCGGGTGTACAGTAAGCAGTGAATAGGGGTGTCATATAACCTATGTAATCGAGAAATGCGATGTACGGAAAAGTACTATGTTCGTGCCGGGAAGGAAGTGAGGAAATGATGTGAAGTAAAAAAAGGCGTGTCCATAATGAGCATGAAAGCTGGTATGAGTGCATAATAAAGAATAAACCACGATGGGTCCAATAGAGTACAAGCGTATAAAATGAGTTGCAAATGAACGTTCTTCACAAATGCCAAATCAATTGAGGGGTACTTAACCAACCTTCTGATCAATCATTGACTGACACGAAAACCAGGGAATGCAGAGTTACAATTTCAAACTTGCTTGAAAAGAGAATGATTAAACGGAGAAAGAATATTAGGGGATGAGTGATAGATGACCCATACAAGTAACTAATAGTTACGGGGTACTTAATGTGGGCTCCGAAAACCATAGGACGTAATGCGGGGATAGCTAAGGCTGGTGCGACTGACGACCACCAGGATATGCCACTGCTGTGGGACTTCAATGATTTCTTCAAGTCAATAGGACCCAGAACAGCTAACACAAACATTGCCCGCAAAGACATGGTTACTTACAAAATATGGGCAATAAACAATCGTTTAATTAGTGTCAGTTCTGGAGACAGCATCCTAACTAATCCTGAGTGGAAGTTACACCACGAGATGGGTCTAGAAGGCCGTTCAAATGTGCACAGTATTCACGAGGTCACTTGATCAACCTTGGAAGCTACTAACAACTGAGAGAAAGTTTATCCCACCAGAGCTATTGCGCTCAAATTCAACCAAGCACTTGAAAAGAAGCGAAAATCACGTACGCTACCTACAGTGGAGCAAAATAGTGAAGAAAGGTGGTCATATATTGAAACAGTTGAGCCACAGACCGGGACAATGTGCACACTTTTCTGCATTCGTTCGCAATGAGTAAAGAACGACTTTTTGCGTTGGTCACAGAAGTTTCAGAGATACCAAAACACATGTAGAAAACTTAAAGCTAATGGAGGATTCCAAATAATCGCCATGAATTTCTTAAGTTGGTTGATGTGTACAACTTTTTGCGTCTTGCCTTATAGACCGGAATCATGCGCGTTTAACGCGGGAGGTTGCATAATACAGCTGCTAATACAGCAGGGAGATTCGTCGCATGCCGATGAAAATAGCCGTCCAAGTTCACAGCATGGGCCATGTGATTAGCCAACTAGAGGGTGGCCGGTGTAATCAGGCAGCAAATGTAGGAGAACAACATCTGTAAACTGTCCGGAAGGGAAAGGCAGAAGCCCACGGGAAACATTCGATTCGAATCCATCTACATTGCAACAGTCAGGAGTGACTACGACAACCTAGTGGCTGATTGGGAAAAGGCGAACTCTACAACGGCCAATATCCTGTAATGGCAGTTTCTGGCCGGCTGCATGTAATTCACTCTCAAAGTGTGAGATACGACTTTCTGGTAGCAACTACTGGGGGAAAACTATTCCAACAGGTTACAAATGTTCCTCCTACGAATTGAGTTTATATTCACACATGTTACGTCGAACTCTAGTTGAAACAACCTTGGTAACATCCACTTTTTCGGAAAGAACGTCTATGCCATGAGCGGTTGTTACACGGAGTGGTTAGTTTACAGCCAACAGGTGCAAAAGTGGAGTGAAGCACACTGGGTTTGTGCAAAACATAACAGAGGAAATTTTGGGCAAAGAACACAGCTCACCGTAGCTTTTGAAACTGTCCCAATCGAATCTTTCGGGGCGGAAATCTCATCTAAAAAGGATGAAGGATTTGGTCATAAAATAACTTACATCAAACAGTTTGCTCACTACGGCCAATGTCTACCGATTCTCCTGCTGTCAGACAACAGCTAATCACAAACCTGACGAACAGTGTTCACAAGGGAAGACCGAAATTATCCTATGTTCCCAGCAAATCTCCACAAAATATTTCGGACACCGCAGTCACAAACACTCAATGTTGACGGGTGGGCAAGCGAAATGATCAAGTATCTCACTCAAGGTAGTGTTGATAGGACTTTGATGGTCCACCTGTGAACTGAAAGCTGACTAGAAGACCTGCTAAATAGAAAACACTTTTCTGATTACTCCAGCAGGGAAAAGCAACGTCCTTCTACAGTCTATGTAAACGCGTATCGGTGCTAATGTCAGTCTGAGGATCTACTTAAATGTACCGACATGTTTGAACGGTAGTCAAATGCCGAGTTATCACACTGGTGTTAGCGTCCTTAATACAAAACAATGAGATGTTAAGGAGCACAAAACGCGCAAGTCCGCAGAAAGCCCATGAACAAAACAAGAGCGAGGAAAATCGACAGGATACAGGGTACTGTTAGCGGAATATTGCAGAGTAAACCAACAAAGCGAGAAGAGGTTGTCAGCATGGCTGCTTTCTAAGCTCAGTCGTTCACGCAGTCGTTTCACCGAAGTGCGAACGCATGAATTACGCGACAGCGACCAATCTAGTAATATCAAATTTTAACTGCCACTAACAAGATGAGTGTGCAGACGATGGACTGGTGATTCAGTTCAACGTAGTCTGGCTTCATTAATACAAAAATATTGTTCGAATGTTACCGAATCTCCTTAGATCACTACTAAGCAATTCATATATGTTTCTAACCGCAGTGAGTCACACTACTTTGAAAGCGTTTTTAGCACGAACAGGTAATCACGACAAAGTATTTCGAAGTCAGAAGATATAGTCAGAAGACATTAGGTGCAGACATCAAGGTACAAGCTTAACAAACCCTGTTAGCGCTTGGACTATTGCTAAACGCGTACGCAGACAGGTAAAAATCACAAAATCCAGACATACCCAAACAGTTGCAAACAACTTTCACTTAGTCTAAAAAACGGCTATTGAGTGTGAACGCTATGAATAGGAAAATGACGGAGGTTGAAAGGGTCAAAATAAGAAGCAACCTCGTACCAGTTTCAGTATTCCAGTGGTGATCCGTCTTATTAGCGTTATCTTCCATTGAGCCGTTGCACTTGGCCAAGGGAACTTCATTCATTTCATTAAGGTCGTCAGCTCCCGACGAAGAGGCTGAAGTGGGGCGCAAGTTACTGCGTTTAGTAGTCTGAAACAATTCACCAGAAGGTGGGCAAGAAACATCTTCATCAATAATTTCCGAATCTTTATGCTCCGCGGGAACCGTCACTTGATCATCAGCTTCGGGAATGACCTCATTCGATATGGAGATGTTATCCCTATCACCCAAGAGCCATGCATTCAACGGCCGCAGCCATGCAAAGTCCTCTTCCGAAAGACCTAACTTGCCAACCTGTAGGCGATTTCCACGGTCCGACTCGGTCCGCTTTGGAGAACTGCTGCTTGAGTGAGGGAGAGTATCGACAACAAGGCGAAAGGGGTAGGTCACCTAGTATGAGGAAAGGAAACGAGTTTGGGTTAGTTACAACAAAGACGAGAGATTACCAAAGAAGTGTGATAAAACGAGCGTACCACGTGTTGCAACAGATCGGAGTTGTAGAAACCAATAGTACCAGTAAAATAGGATCCAGGTACGGTGTAGGCTGGATATCTGAAAAGAAAAGAAAAACTGGAAGTTCGATTACAAGGAAACAGCTATCAAGCACATTATAGACTGACAAGTTAAAGTTATGAAAGCGTTTCGCTGAATGCAACGAGTGTTATTAAATTTCAGCTATAGCGAATGAAGAAAAGGTTAACCTCACAACACAGAAGCACAGAAAACGAGCTGCTTACAAATCTTGGCGCCCATGTCGCAATCTAATGGACGGGAAAAATAATCACTGAGAAATTTCAACTTCAGGGTGTAAACAGTCCAGTCTTGCACAAGCGTCAGGGACGAATAAATACTGAGCTAAATCATAGTCCACAGAAAAAGCAATGATAAGGCGTACCGTTGTTCAGATAATCCTATATAGAGTCCGGTAGATTCGTTCGCGCATAAACTGGTAGGAAGACAGGGGCAGCGACGACTAGATTCATCCACAACAAACATTTCTTCAAAGCGTTTGGCAACATTTTCATGCGTTGGATTGCTGGCTCTGTGAAACTTAAGCGTAGTTGCTTTGGGCGGACCACAGGGTATTGAGTCTAGGGCAGAACAGGGCTTGGCGCCATTCAGACCCAGTGAGAATGGAAAGGCAGAGAATTCGAAGGACACCGGTATATTACTTTTTCCTGTAGTGCGCTTCTCTGCTGGAGAGTCCGACTGGCCAGGTCCAGGAAGACGGAAACGTACGACAGCACAGTGCTGGCGCAGTCGCTCGAGCGGTGACAGAGTGTCCCCACTTAACGCACCACCACCGGCCCCTCCACTGATGCGGTCATCCGCCATTTCATTCCCAGCACCGACGGACGTATCCGCAGATGTTTTGACACCGGCGCCATTTAGGTTGGGGCCAGTTTCATGACAGATCTAAAGCAAAGTTACAAATGAGGTAAGTTTTAGGAAATGTAACAAACAGCGAGTTCGGAGGAATATAAGATACGCGAACTGATGAAGGCGGACGGGCAAGAAGTGAACAAGCTTGTCGAACATGAAATAGTGTGATATATTAATCAATGTGCAAACCTTCCGAAACACTGCGGTTCGAACTGCGGGTTGTTTTAATTCACAAAATATGATCCTGTTGTTGAACAAAAAAACTATTCCCGAAAGGCTTGCACAGTTTTGCTTCTGTAAGTTGAGATTACCGAGATGTTGACATAATAGAAACCTATAAGAAGAAACGACTTTCCTTGACAGACCGGAAAGTGCCACTCCAAATATTTCGGTAGGTATACCAGGTATATACAATACCTAATGGGAATATCAGTTCATCTGGACAAATATCGGTTGGACAACCAACGATTGACAGATGGAAATTAAGAACAGTAATAAACTAGGACGAAAAGGCGGACCACTGAAGCGATGGTGCAAAGACATTTCAGTCAAAACATCAGCCAGCACAAAGATATGCGCTACTGTGCAAGCAGCGATCACAAGTTTTGGAGGTTTGGTGTCAAAGTGTGGAAGTAGCAGGTCATCGGCTCACATGCCCAATATCGACTTTTCTAGCCAATCAGAAGGGGTGAATTCAGACATCAAACAATGTTTCTTGGAGAGACTCACCAACAACGAGGGCGTGATGTGAGCGATATTAGGGAGGAAAGCCGCAGACAACAGCCCCTACTCCCAAAGCGAACACTTTTTCAGTTAAGGCGATTAACGACTCCTTAGGGACTTACATTCCACGAGGTTTAAGTATGCATAGCCACCGTGTTAACTGGCTATTCTGAAATTAGTTTCACGGGGAATATCCACAAGCAAGATAAATCCAGAGTTTGACCACGGCAGCCTTCGGATGATACACATACAATGGCATTTTACCGAGGTGGAAGTCAAACAGGTCAACTAACCTGAACCACAACTTTATAATCGCCTTTATCCAACGATTGTGCGAACTTTGGGCGCTTTGGTCGTTTCTGTAGATGCAAAAAAGAAAGTAGAGAGAAATGCACAATGATCAGGAAGTCATTGCAAATGATAGATCAGTCAACACATATCTCGGTGAATATAAAAGAGATGAGAACGAAAAATGATGCAACTCGTGACCCTTAGTAACGAGTGGACACTCAGGTGCATCACGCAAAAGAGAAACCAATGCGACTGGATTTGCAAATGCCATCCTCTGGGTTCAACTTGCATCAACTTCCACCTAATTCATTGAATATCATTTGTTGTTGAGAACATGGTCGATGTGGAACCAGTGATCGGTCAGTGGGTACACGCTGCATGGTGCTAGCCACAATAAAGAGTAGGTTCAACGGAGAATAATGAAAGTTGGTGGAATATAGCAGAATACCACTCGCTTCGAAAGCTTCAGTATGTCACCCATTTTACTGACTGAATAGAATACGAAGGTCAATTCTTGGTGCTAGACTGAAATTGGGAATAAGGTGCCATTCTTTACCGGCGTTTTTCTTTTTCGGCTGGTATGGATTTACACAACAAAACCGTATGTGTACAAAAAATGCACCACGGTTATGGATGAGTTTTTTTTACTTCCATACAATTCCGCCATGATGTTTGCATGCGTCATTCAAATGGTTGTCACATACACAATTCTGGATATTCTGGAAGCCTCCTCACCTTGTAGCCCCAATTGTATCATAGAAGATCTGCTTCTGTGAAGAACGAAATGATAATGACAGAGAGAAGAGGGACAATCGCACATTCCCGACTCATCAACCAAAAACGAACCTGTGTTTCGTAGAAAATGAGCGGATTCTAGAGACATTCACCTCAGGTGCACAGCAAAAATCTCACAAGTGAATCATTTGTACACAAACCACAGTGTTGAAAATCTAAACTCTCTTATCCCAATCATATGTTAAAATTCCACTGAGTGAGGACCTCGTACAAGTTGGTGCTGCGTTCAGCCCTAGCACCCTTTTAAGGCCCAACTGCCACGCCACCAGAAGAACGCATGAGGACTGGGATACTGCCAGGTTGCCAAACCTAGAGAGGCAAAGGTCGGGCTCGAACCTCTCTAACCACTGACCTATCTCGCTCCCTGGCAATGCATTGTTGTAGGAATACAGTGATGCACTGTTTCAACCGACAGTACCTATAAACGCCTTGGAAAATGAGCATGTTGCTGTTGGTAGCCTTCTTATAGCATTTCATCGTCATCAAAGTAGGGTGTGTTTGGGCGTAAGCACCTGGTTAACAGATGGATTTTCAAGGCTTCCGTAGTTAATTCAGTGACAAGGAATAGGCTTCGAAAAAGAACGATCAGGAATAGTCAATCTTGTTACGATTATTGTGGTTAAACTTCGCTACATGACTGAGCAGTCACTCTCCATCGTGGAAAAACCTAGCGTTGCAGCCGGTCCGAACTAGCGAATCAAGCCTTCTACAGTAAAACAAGTAACGTTACGTGGCACCGTGACCAGCGCATAGAACGGATTTCCGAAGGGAAATTGGGGTACGCTTTACAACTTTTCAGAAGAATAAAGGGGCAATGCCCGAGGCGCATGAGGATGTCAAAAAATTATCAAAAACTATTTGATTTAATTGCCATGTAAAACTTTTCGGGCTTACAACAACTGAGCGTGAACGAACAGCGTAAAATCAGTAAGAACTTACGTGTAAAAACACTTCACGTAAAAAAACCATCAACCGCATTTTGGTTAGGGACCTGGCCGAAAGCGACGAATAAAAACTGGTGTTCACGATGCCATCCACTAGCGGACTAATAGCAAGGTAGACTTGATATTTGCGAAATAGCTGTCATAACCCCCACGTCTAAGAATGCCTGCTATCATGTAGACTGAACTTGCATTACATGCCTGGGTCATTACCGTCTTATTTTTTTGTGACGACGTTACTTTACGAAATTCCATTAAACTGTATTCAGGCATTCATAACAATGAAAACAGAAGCCACCGTTCCACTGTATAACAAACACACGGTGTCTACCAAATCAGTGCTTTGATTTTTTATTAGGAAATAAGTCAAAAGCTAGCCGTTTTGCCTGAGGCTTACAGATGGCAGCCACAGTGAACGGTAGAAGACAACTGACTTGACTTGATAATCTTGCCTGGTTGCAAAAATAAGCAGCTGTTTGATTGTTTTCAATATAGTCGAACTCGAAAAATGGGTAACATGAGGGCGTGTTGCAGCAGCGATCCGTAGTCGAAGCATAGCACAACGCATCCGCAACTAGGAGGCTTCTCGAACGGTTTGCGTGAAAGCGCAAAAGTGCGATGCGACCCACTGATGTGTGGTTAACCGGAAAGTGGTGTCGCAAACCAAGAAGATCAGTTTGACCCACTGACAGTAGAAGACCGCGGTCCTTTTATTCGTGAAATCTGAATTTCAAACAGGTGCATTTGATATGCCTCCTTATTACGCCAACTTTTGCTGAAAACAGGAGCATTGTAGTATATCAAAATCCTAATAAAAAAACCCTGATTAGGGTTCAACAAATCTTTTGCACCTGGATGGAAAAAAGGCGTGCTTGGATACGCGCATCGAAATACCTTCCCAAGCTGTAAACTGAGCCATAAACATGCAGAGTGATGCTTCCAAGTAAAGTAGTCAAAACGCGCTTCCACTTCGTCGAAATGACCAGCACTAGACCGGGTGGTTGCTACTATATTGGCGAGGAGTTTTCACCAATTCAATGGTCCTAAGCGGGCTTTCCTGATTGCAATAATGACCAATCCTTAACATGACTTAGATATGCTTTCCATTGGCAGTGTTGCTTGGTTTTGCAGACGCAGGGCCTGTGAGTCTAACGAAGTAAGAACTGTAAGCGGGTCAATTGAGCGCTAGTGACCGTTGAATGTGTGTGTGATACACATGTCAGGCACAAACAACGCACCAGAAGCCCCTGTTCTAATAGGCCAATCATACTGACACCGAATCTTCGCAACCTAACCGCGATTCTTTTGATACAATGAACCATACACTGACTGTACAGCCTTTTGGTTGTAACAATTCATCGGAAAAATCCAATCCATCAGAACTGAAACAATAGAAACAGGCAATTGTGAACTAAACCTCCAAACAACATAGGGTCAACGATGAACATATACGCCGAAAATGCAGTTATGTTGCACATTTCTTATTAAAATAATCAAATCGTTAAGTTGTAGCATCTTGTCAGTGCCTAGCTGCCATGCTAACGAAAGGAGGTCCGACGGCTAGGATACTGCCAGGTTGCCCAAGCCTAGACAGGAGCAGCCAAGATAGTGAGGCTGGGTTCGAACCACGACTTTCTGGCCCGTAAGCTGGCGCCCTAATCACTGACGGGTGAACCGCTTGGACCATTTCCTGACGCTTAAAAGTCTTTTTACTAGATTTCCCAAACAAATTACCAGATGCAAATCAAACATGAAACGAGTCAACTATGGCTATGATAATGTGAGTGGCGCACCGATTAACTCCTGCAATAACTGATTTTGCAGACTGCCAGTACGCTGCTTAAAGGTTGTATGATTGCCGACATCAAAATCCGCAATACAGTAAGGACGCTTTAACAGCGATTTTGAATCAACTATGTTGACTTTAAGCACAACACATTTCAATAGCAATATTCTTCTGAGTTGCAAGTTGGGTAGCAAGGACTTCTAAGCTTAGACAAGATAACCAAAGAAGGTAGTCTGTCCCAATACGATTTCACTCCCTATGCAGGGCTTTCAAGCTATTTCTACGTATTTAAATATTGCGAAAAAGTTTTAACGCTCTGGCGAAAAGCTCAATATAATTAACTAGAAGTTTGTTGCTGATCTCAAGGTTTTTGCAAAGTTTGCTCCCAACGCAGGAACAGGATATTCATCCCCCCATGGGTTTTAGAATAAAGTTTATTTCATCTCATGCATTTGTAGTAGAAAATTATGATGGTATTCCAGAAAGGGTTGAAGTGAGCGTCAGAGTTACAATTCAGTCTCTGGTGTTCTGGAGTTGGGAAAGTTCAACTTATGAAGTTTGGATACGGTTGCTAGATTCGTGCGTACGGTATCAAACGAAAAAAAGCGACCGCAGTTGATCGCTGTAAGGTTTAGTTTTAGTAGACCAATATTAATGGCATATGCCTACAAGAATCGGTTGACGATACTAAAACAAACCATGAAAAAAAGTGGCGAGAGTTCCAATAAGTACATCCCAAAGTCGATTTTTGACAGAAGTGATAAACCGGTCTTTCTAGTTTTAGGATTAAGCGGGCTCTGTGACGTCTGTATTCCAAAAGAATGGGGTGAACACAAAACCCAACCTCTGTTTTCAAAAGACCGTAATGGATTCTTCCAAGCGACGTGCCCAAATGTTCCAGAAGTATTTACCCTATGGCTTCAAAGTAAACCAGATTATGAGACACAATCAAATAGACAGGGTTCAATCAGGGTGCGGAGCATTGTCCTGGGAACCAAGCAAATAGGCTAGGACGAAAAAACCTACCATGTCAAAGTCGCCAGCTCCTAGGAAGCGTCCACGCGAGTCGTAAAGATGGTACAATTGGAGCAGATAGTCACTTTCGTATAACAGTTCATGCAACCAAGGTAGTTCAAATTGCGTCAGCGAATACTTGAATGGCTAATGAGTCAGAAGAAAGTGGATATCAAACACGATATGGCATTCAAAACAACCTAGAAATATTATTCTTCTGACACAGTTACAATAAAAAACAATATCACATTCAAGCCATCTAGAGCAGAAACTTTGGGTACAGTCTCCTCTAAAACTGAATGTCCAGGCTGCTGATCCGACATGACTTCGACGTACATAGACAACCTCCAACTTCAATCAGTTCGCGAAGCTTTTCTTCTGATTCACCCTGCTGCTAGCCAGCAGCAAACTCCACAGTCTAGGCGCACAGCGGTGCAGATTTAAATTACTCCTCCGAGAAGACTTCATGTGGTTATGGCACGAGGGATTATCATAAAAACTGAGCGGTCTGTTTACACCTTGCGAACGCACACTGCTTCCTCATCTACTGCTTGAAGCACCGACTAATGTATGACCCTCTCTCGATAGTAAACCGAATGAAGCCGAAAACTGAAAGTACAATGTTAAGACCTTTCGCTGTGGATCACAATGACTCCCACCTGCTGATATCTTTAAGTTAGCTCCAGCGTTTGGCAGCATAGCTTGTTTCGTCAACCCAAACCATTGGATTGCACTCGGCCTTCCACTGCATAGTTCTCAGGACGCAATCATTTCTCTAAAGTTTATTTTCCAGAAGGGGTTCACTGCCTCACATATAAGCTACAATTTCTTACATGTGAGCAAGGGTGTACTGAGCTGGCTAGCGCTGTCCAGATAACGTCTTGGCTGATTCCACGGCAATTTGCAAGGGCAGCACGAGTAACGATACCACTGCATCACACTCTATTCAACTCACCATCTACACCACTTGTATGTTATTCAGAACACGCCTTTCTACCCTGTCTTGTCCTTAAAGCTCAGCGCCGGTCTCACAAAAGCTAACCCAATAATCGACTGCTTGCCAATTTACAACAACTAGTGCCGCAGCTTACTTCAATTCTTTCTCATCTTCAAACCCCATCGGTTACAGCGCTTCTGTTAGGCGACTTCAAATATTTCGCCCTACAAACCACTGAATCGGGTTCTTCGTTCCGGCCCTTGCATAAAGGCAGTATAGATACAAATATAGACATCGTGAAGATAGGACCGTGGGATGGTGGACGTATCGTACTGCGACAAACAACCGATACTATGGTTTGGTGACGCTTCAGAACGTGCATTAAATTCCGAAAAAATGAGAACCTCTAGCATCTTTCCTAACAGCAGTATTCCATTTGAAGGCGATGAGAACGTTCAAGAGAAATAAACACCAAACTAAGTAGCTTATGGAAAAAAACAGAAAGGAACAGAAGTAAATATATTGAAACATACACAATGGAAAAAGTAGACTAGCCGCAAAGCGTAACATCCACGTCCAGTAAGTAAAACCTCGTTTTGTCCGTGCCCCAGATAGAAGATCTTCGACTCACTGGGCCTGTTCAACAATAGGAGGCAAAAGCAAAGAATTTTAGCTAGGCTAAAACTGTGCTGTGAACCACATACGGAAATGACGATTAAAATCAGTCAGCTTGAAGCCACGAAGCCTTTTCAATGCCAAAGTTTAGTATTTTGACGTGAACCGTTCGGGTTGTCATCGTACATAGGCAAGGGAATTATCTGAACTCCATGAAGTAAAGCGAAGGACGTACAACAAATAGTGGTCTGGAGATCAAGAATGAGAGAATGGAAGCGATAACGAGATTGACTGGGGGACATCATCACAATCGTCATCGGTAGCATGACATCAGTGTTCAACACAGATGCTTCGCTGCCAGGGACATCAATATGCCGGTGAGCGTCTCTAGCCAAGGGGTTCTGCAAATCCTTACATGCTTCTCTTCAAGGTTATGTTTTGCGTACCCCCAGTCTTGTTCCATTTAGAGCATACTTCAGCAAATAGGACGAGGCAAGGCGATCGATCACCTGGCATAAGGACATGACCAGGTGGTTCAGCCACGTCAAGTCATCAAATGAAACCATGTGTCGCAACTCGATATTGTTAACCTGGCCTTCTCAAGATACGTGTGTAGTCCTTCGAACGCACCGATAGTGAGAGGAAGGCAACCGCCTTTCATCATCAACACAGTGGTCCCGTTTTACAGGCGTAAAGCAGTGGTCTGCAGAAAGTGTGAGCGACCATATACCGCTGAATTACCTCGTCAATAGTCGCATTGAATAACCATTAAATTCCTTGCCAGCAGCTTACGCCTTAACTTCCTAATCTGACTCTGGCTCGGAAAGCGTGCAGTAATAACTCCAGCCTGTTGTCAGTAAACAGACCACACTTGTCTGGGTGGTCGTTACGTTCTACGGTTCCGAAGATATAATCTTTCACAGAATCCTTTGCATTCAGAAATATTACTGAGACGCCACCTAAAAGAAGCAAAGTTCATCCACCTCATAACGTCACACCCAGTTTTGTTGGAAACGCCAAATGTGGAGATTGGACCACTAGGTGAAGACAGTCTTAGACTTGCATTATTCCACACAGTTTTGCAGTCCTATGATGCCTACGTAAACTTGATGCGTTAGATTGGTTATATAGACTGCACTATCGAGCAAGTTATGTGAAGCAAAAAGCATTCCTCAACGAAAGTGTTTGAATGAGATAGTGTTGTCACTATCAAGTGATTGAAGTTTGGCATCTCTATCTGATTTCTTACCGTGCTTATCTAATCAACCGGCTTACGGTACTAGATTGGTCGGAGTCAAGTTAGGTTTTACAGCAACGAATTGCAATGATCTACCACACAGCCATAATCTTTTTGGTATCAGCTACAATAGGGTACAACGACTCCATCAAAGGTTTGGTCATGTATACGCCATCTGTGCGTATTATTAGGCTTGTTGGAGTCGGGCGACATGTATGAATGCGCGAAACAAGTGAGCGGAACCAGTCGGTTCAACTCTAATTACTTAGTGACAACGCGAGTGAAGTAGTACCCAGACGGCTGATACCCACGCGATAAATTTATTGACCATGTGATAGAAGAGACAGGATTTGGGTGGTAGATGATGAATGCAAATAAAATGACATGATAACTAAGGGTGCAGCCAAAAAGCGCGAAAGAAGTGTTGCCACAACGATAAAATATCGTATGTGTATGGAACCCATTGGCGTGATCGACTTCTTTGTGTCCATACGCCAGACAGTGATGTTCTAAGTCAATGTCATCAGTATTTGACGAAAAAATCAAAAACTGAAGACCACCTATAATGAACACCTATCAGGACTTCTCTGATGAACTACTTAAACACTTAAAAGACGCCTCACGCTGGCACAAACCACGGAGTGATATTTAAAGAAGAATGAGGAAAAAATATTATTTTAACCAAACTCACCTAACTGGTAGGACCCAGTGGGAAAGATTGATGTTAGGAGAGAGGTCTTCGGTAGCAAAGTTGGAACGCAACACAAGGCGAACGTAATGATCGCTGGAAGACTGAACAAGATCGGGTGGGGAAGATTGGCCGCATTATGCAAAACTCAGAAGCGAAACTGATTTCCAAGTGATAAGTTTTTAGTGAATCAATAATACTAGTGCTCTCTCCAAGTGACTCGAAGACGAATCCATTTTAAGGATAAGGTGGACAGAACCCAAAGTTATTTGAAATGTGGGAGTAGGATGTTCTCACGTTCGAAGCTTCCACTGGGGGTGAGGTCTGTCCATCATGGTAGAGATTTATTTAGTATGCCTACTCAAATTGGAGTAAAAGAGAACGAAGTGTAACTGCTCGCGAAGCTAGAGAATGGACGTGTGCGGAACCGTCATTTCCTAGGATGCGGCACACACCAAACAGCACTGTTAGATCCTCTCTGGATAGTATATTAGGCTTGTACAGATCTTTTTATCAAGCAATAATACCTTTCATGGATTTCGATAGGATTTCAATTGGCACGCCGCAGCACCAGTCGCAGTGAAAGTGCAAACGAGTAGGGGAACTCAACACAAGAAAGTGAAGAATAGTCTGCAGGTGAAAGGACACTTGACAAAACCACAATTCATGCCCAGAACATTCATTTGAATGGATGGATTCATTTACAGGACATTTTCCATAAGATACACAGCCTCCAACGCAAACACTTGGCTTCCAAGAGAATGCGCTATCTAAAAGAGCTCAGTTCAGCTTATCAGTTATAGACTGTGCATAAACATAACATTAGTTTCAGCTGCTACAGATGCCACGACCCGGAAATGAGGGAACGGGAAGTAAATAGCCACGTATCAATCAGTTGATTGACGCTGAATCAGTCTAGTTATCTCACGAAGCGAAAACTATGAAGTTGCGCACCGAATGTAACAACTTTGATGCTGCGTGATTGAGCCATACCTGCCATCATAAACAATCACTGATGAGTTGAGCCCCGAAATTCTCATCGAAAAAGGCCGCATTGATCAACCGACTGAGTTAGCTGCTTGGTGTTTCCAAATTTCGTTGCCAGGTTGTGGACTTACACCACACAGTAGCTTCCACCCAGCACAGGACTAGGCGAGAAGAGCTATGCGAAGCACACGGTTATCTGGCATGTGAAGTACATGTGTCTTCATCAGTGTAACCTATGAAGCTCATTCATCACAAGAGAGTTTCTTCTGCTTAAAACACTCTGACGTACCTCGGCGTTCCTAATTCGATATTCCACTGATTCTAAGTGGGAAAGCACTGTATACCCAATACATCCCAGCAGCAGGTGGAACTGGGCAAACGTGAGGTTTGAATACTCTAAGTATCACAAAGACTTTAAACCACACAACCCGTTTCATTAGGGGCACGACTGAAGTTTGAACATGGACATCCCTATTATAAGCCGTTCAGTCCTATCCCGATACGATTTTTGTGTCACATGTACATTCGTGCCCCACTAACTGTGGGGGAGCAACACATACTGGACGGTTGTTTTTAAAGTTCATCAGTGTCGACGAAACCTAAAGCTAACGTTATTCCTCGTAGGTTGCAATCACAATAAATAATGAAATGACCCAAAGGAAGTCCAAATTGTATTACAGTCGGTTGGTAACATCCGTACTACAGACACTCTGACCTGGGGAGTTAATAGGCCACGGCAGGGTTGACGCTTCCACGTGACGTTACCTATGACGAAGGGTCGCTGTCGTGCTCAATCTGCGACTGCTTAGATAGTTGTGGATGCCAGATGTTCGTCAATATTCCGTCAGACTATTCCGCTGATCATCACTGTTAGAATGTGCTACAATCTCACTAGTCAGGTGGTTTAACTTATCAGACTGATTTCAAAAGCACGTGAACAATTTTCGGGGACGAGTACCGCACACCATGTCCTACATAGTTCGCGAAGCACTCGCGAAAAAAGAATAGGTCAGTGCAAATGAGCCGTGGAAGGGCTACCGAACAACGGTGATGACATGAGAAGATAGGGTAGTGTTCGCTAGAGATTTTGAGCATTAGGGAGCTATTTAAATGTGTTGTCAATTCGTGGCACCAAGCGCTATAGTAAAGCGGTGGTCAGCAAATGCGCGAGACTCTTTGAAGTTTGATCACTTTAATGGAGGAGTAGATGTGCACACAGTGCTGCTCGAGTAGGTGACTGCTTGATTTCATACCACCGTTCGGCTGTCTCACGCTCCGCAAAATAGGTTTCACAGTAGGGTTTTTGACGTAAGGTCCAGTTTTGCAAATAATGCGTCGTTGGTACAGATTATGCAAAACTTGATTAGACCCAGTTTGCATTTCACAACAACGAAGCTTTCAGGGTTCACCTATCGGCCGGATTCAGGTATACTGATCCCTGAAGTGTACTTTTCTGTCTATAGATAAGTAACATCCGAAATGTGGACACTATAATCGATTACCTTAGTGTGGTAGACCGTAACGCAAAAATTTCTAGGGAAGACGTATATATAGCTCTACGGATGTTATACCTAAATATGATGATATCATTGACATGACGTTTTCAGAAAGGCAGTCATGAAATAACTGCGACTAATGATCAAAGATGCGCATCAATATGTCGGCTAAACCAGTCCAGGTGGAGAACTTACCAATACTCCATCAATCAGTCCATGAATTATTCCATTAAATGAAAAAAGCATGCTGGACGTACGAAATTTCAACAGTGACTATTGACGCTAAGGTCTCCATGAAGAAACGCCGGTTAGTACTTTTTTGTCTATCCATTTTTACCTACTCATGAGTAACGCATTACATGAAACTTCGCAACCTGCTGTCGCGATCCGGTCTCTACGTCCTGTACTACCGATATCTTCATATTCTGCGTTCATCAGGGATGAATGCTGGACCCACATAAGATCCAAGTATTCCCACTGACGTTCGAAATGAGTGTCACCGAACTCAATAGGTTTCAAACAGTTTCAACCGATGAAACAAAGAGACAGTATAACAACACAGCTTAACAAAACACCACCTTTCCGGATCAACAGTAACTCAGATTACTTGAGTACACTATTCCAGGTAATGGTATCTCCACTTACTTAAGAAACCGAAAGATGTCATCTTGGGTCCGATTTAATGGTCGAGAATACTGACTGATGGTTGTGAACACCGTACAGCCATGTAAGCTGGTTCACTAGTCTAAGTCAGCCATTGACGTCTAAAGCAATCCGAACGAAACATAAGTTTACAGAATCGTTGTACCACTTTGATACTAATCTCATCCGTTTGATAAATCAAACTACAAAAGCAACGCTCTAAGACATGTTACAAATACAGAACCACCAAACCAAGTAAACGGAGGATGATGACTACATACAATAAATACACATAATACACACTTATAAACACACATATAAACACATATAACTATAATCGAAGTTATATAACTAGTCTCATTGATGTGTACCATAGATATCTGCCGTTGTGAAGGTTCCAGGCCACGGAAGTACAGCTCACCAATAAGGACTGCCGGTGCTTCAAGACCCCAGTGCTGTGCAATCGTCAACTCCATGTAGTCCGACTCCCAACAAATGGGAAAGGCTAGCTGACTAGCTCCCTCAAAGTCGTCACCCACACGTTTTCCTGTTACACCGCGTTGTCGCCCAAGAGTGGTCCCACCTTGCCCACACCTATTGAGATTCAACAAGGGCCAGGTGACTTCTTGTTGACCAGCAGTCAGTCCCGAACGGGGTTGTGGAAATGAAACCGTAACTTTGAATTCGCACAAAGTATCGTTTTGATCCAAGCGAGAGAGACGCAGCACTAGAGTAAGGAAAAACGTGAATTCATTATTGTATGAGGCAAATTCCTCGCGGTACCAGTGAAATAATGGTGGACACGGTGTGCAATTATACACCAGCTAAAACATTCGTTAATATAGACATTCTCACACGAAAATGTACAAACTGTAGAGACTATGTGACTGAGTTCTCCGAGCACTGACCACATATCCCTTTACTTCAGCTTCTCTCAGTTGATCAAAGGCTTACTCTGGAGCTGTGGTCCGTGACAATGTCCCTGGTAGAGAGACGAAACAAACATTAACTTTCATGTTCCAACATTTGGCAAACAATAAACCGAGCGCGCGTGAAAGGAAGCGAGTGGGAACTAAGCTCGCACTTGTATGAGAGACCAGTTGTATGTAGGTAGCAGTGTATGAACGAATTATGACCAATCATCATCAAATGATGAAGAGCGATCTGGTGTGAAAACGCTACGTGAGTTCCGAGTAGACTGACCGTATTGCACAGGTAGTTGGGTGATTCAAATGAATACAGGTCAGGTTATCCCGTCGCTAAGTGTTCCTATCAAAGTTGGATTATGTGCGCTTCTGTTGGCTATACGCAAATCAAACATGCTTGTGTCTGCCCTATTTAGAAAGTCAATCAACAACAGGTGAAGCTCCAATTACAGCTAATAAAATTCATTGAATAAATCTGTCCAGCTTAGCCACCGATTTTACAGATTATTAAAGCCTGTAGTGCTAGTGGGCAAGATTGTGGTAACGAGATCACCCAGGTATTACCTCCAGCAGTAGCACCCGTTGGAATATAAATGAACCAGCGTCGAACCTTGTGAGATGAGTCGAATCGGTCGGAAATCGATAAACGTGGATGTTCTAATCCACGAGATAATGGAAGTCTGCCACAAGCGAAAAAGAAGAAAATATTAAATTGTAATAGCCCTCTTGGGAGCTAAATATAGAGCAAAGAATATAAATGGCTATGGGTCAAAGCACCACAAGACCAATATCCAAAATAAAAATATTAGTGCACAGTAAGTTGGCAAGTCATAATAATTCTGAAGCAACATGCAAGTACAGTTCTCTTAGATCTCCGTTTAATGAAACATCACATTCTTAAGATTTTCCCACTGAAGCATTACTAAGCATCTCTGAAAAGCTAAAAAAAACTCGTACAAACGAGGTTTGATCGATAAAGCCATAAGATGCTTTCCAGTGATTCATGATGAGGAAAACTCCAGATCCATATGCAATGGTGTCACAGATGCCTCTCAAGGAAAAGCACTTTTGACCAATACAAGTCTGCCTGAATTCCTAATATATAGGCTCATCGGGCCTAACTGTCGGGTATAGCAACAAAGAAAACAGAAAGAGCAGCCGCCAAATGACGAAAAGTTCTGATGAAGTTGAAACACAGTGTACTGATTCCGATCGCTCGCTCATTAGCACACCCGATTAGAACTACTGAAACTGGATAGGAACGCTGTAATACAACTGAATGTGAAGTAGCCCTGTCGGAATAAGAAAGCTAAATAGGGATAAGCGATTCTACAACCGACTTCGCTTTATCTACAGCCTCTACGTGTCCGCTATGAAGCGATGAGAAGTAAGCAAACCATACGAGCAAATTCCTGTACAACATTATTCCGGCGAAAGGACTAGTATGCAGGTTTACAGAATCCGATCGCAGGACACAAACTCAGGGCGATTGGGCCATACTGTCATCTATAACCGACATTGTAGCGGTGGCCATTTTGATGACAATTCTACAATGGGGTGCCGGTGTCAAGGCTTTCTTTCAATAAACATCTGCATTTTTCAAATCCGAGGGTACTCACTGGCCTCTCCTAAGTGTAGCGGACCTCTTACCCATTCAAAACAAATGTCGATCCGTTGGCGTCCAGTAACACCGATACTATGAAAGGTTGAGAGGTGTCAAAACCATCTTATTTTGAATACAAACATCGGGGCACTGTTTGCGTTGTAGGTGAAGTCAGATGCAAGTAGGGTGATGCGGTACAGCAAAGAGTCCAAACATGCTAAGCTCTGCTTATTCCACCTCTATATTAGCTTAGTACTACCATTTTTCACATCGTCCACTAATTTATCGAGGCTATGCAGCCGTTGTTGTTGTCACACGCTGCTGTGAGGTGAGTCCGAAGCATCGCATGGCCATGTCTGTTGTTGACAGTTAAACTTTTCAGACCCAGGCGACTCCGGCACAGTAACCCGAAAGTCCCTGTAACTGTGGTCCATATTGAACGGCACAGTGGGAAAGGCAATTGACCGGTTACATAACATCCGAACACTGTAATGTTTTTTTTCGGATGTACCAGTTGCGAAGAAGTGGAAACGTCTATATTCACCTAGACCGGTTGTAATAATTCAGTGCAGAATATCAATCTGTCGACGCCATTGATGACACAGCGTACTTTAGTTGCTATTTCTGCGTACGTTATGTACTCGAAGATATGTGATGGTCTGATGTCCGTCTTCATTACCATTTAACCATATCAGGCTTCAGCGACAATGCGTTCAGCTGTAGCACCCTTTCGGTGCCTAGCTGCCATGCCACCCGAAGGAAGCACGAGGGCTGGGATACTGCCAGGTTGCCCAAGCCTAGACAGGGGAAGTCGAGAGGCGGAGGTCGGATTCTAACCACGGACCTTCCGGTCAGTAAATTCGCTCTCTAACCACTTAGGCCATCTCGCCCCTTCAGCAACAATATTCTCACGAGTTAGACGTCGTTCAGTAAATTTTAGTGGATTCAAGTGAGGTAGCCAAGTTACTCTTCCATTAGTTGACGGAAGGGATAACTTTCATCTTTTAGGGGCTTTCCTAGAATAATTATACTTTCCAGTGACAATCTTCAGAAGCTTATCACCCATTTTGCCGATGTTCGGTTGAAATCCCATCTTACAGCGAAGTCAACGCATCCTGAAACTTACCTTCAAGCTGGAATAAAAGGACTAGGCACTAGAATGCAGCTTATGGTGAGAATTGAAATGTGACTCATTCAAGATTGCCCCCTTGTTTCAACCAAAAGCTATGGTGCAATTCAAAAAGTTATGTAAGGCACCAGGGTTAGACGTATACAATCATTTGAATACCAATTTGACATCGGAAGTTATTTCACTTTCTGGTGTTCTGATGTTAACCTGGCGTCGTCAGTCACCTGCACACAAACACTGTTAGTGTCCTCCCAAGGACGAAACCTCATCCGTCGCCAGCCTCTTCCTAATTGTCAAGGTAGCACGATGCACAATTGCAATGAAATTGGGAGCAACTTTACATCTCGACTAGCAGTCTATTAAGAATGAGTCTGATACAACCGAACGAGGTCCCACGACTGACCGAAATCTTGCTGTGTGTGGGCTGGCTCACACAACTGCTCGAGGACATGTGAAGAAAAAACCTGGTTCGGCCAATGAAGGACTTCAAAGGTGGACAGCCAACATCTGGAATGGTTTACCGGTCAAAAGCGGCGGAATAACTAGACGACTGAGCCTATCTGGACAAGTACAGACGGTGTACGCGGGTCGAGTATGCGGATATCCATTAGGGGAGCGGACCAACCACTATCGTCTAACAATGAGCACCGACATCAGCACCTGTTTGACATTAGAACAAAGGTATCCTAGCAACACTTCTGAGATCTTCGGTTCAACCCGATTATGCGGCTAAGATCCGTGTATAACGTTAAGGAACAAGCTACTAGCATTCGGAATGCGAAAAACTGACCACGACGGGCAGTAGATAAGTGCACTTTTCGTAAGCCACTGACTGACATTCCTGAACAACAGATGACACATGAATAAGTCTTAAGTAGTATAAAAACATGGAGAGGATTTATAGCAATTCGTTCGGGGAGAGAGTTACCGTTATTCCAAAGTCTATTTCAGCAGAAAATGACAATGTGACAGTTAAGCTTCTATCGACCTCTCTTGAATTTGGACCCACTTAGACATTTGTCACAAACTATCTGATTCAAGAGTTCCATGCAAGCTTATGAAAGGCGTATCAAATTTTAACATCACACTTCAACCAATCTCATTTCCATCACGATTACACACAAGCCAGCTTCAAGTGAGGTGAATGCAGTATGATGGTCTGGAATCCAAAGTGAATTGTAAAATGTACAAGACATCTGGAGAACACTGGAGATTACGACTAGAGTTCATGAAAAACTAGACATGAACCGGCAACCGACATACGAAACTGTACAACTTTTAGGAAAGTAAGAAACAACGAAGATTCGAATGACATTGCACAGGTCATTGAAATCGTTCTTGCTTCTGGATGCAGGTAAAACTGCGGAGTTAATGAATACAGTATAACGCAATGAGACTCTATGAACACAGAAAAGGCGTTGTAATTGTATCAGACTATAGCGTATGACAGAAGAAACAGGACCAGTAGAGTGGACCAGTACACATCAACACAACAATCATAAGAGGGACATTCTGCCTTTGTTATGACTAATAGGAAAAAGCAACGTACCGTATTGGATTATGTATTATGATCGGGATAAGCGCTAAGGAACCCATATCTGGACGAGTCTCGTCTTCAAATCGGAGAATTGTCACAAAAGGTTCACAAGATTTGAGCGGTGTTGGATTCATCGACGTCAAAGGAGACAATGGGGAATTCGTTAGCAGGGTTCCTTCTTGACTGACTGTGTGTCTGCGAACGATTCGTTCGGGTTCGACTACACCGGTTGTAATGTCTTCCATGGTCGGCAACGGCCAGCACTTGTTGGGGTCGAGAACCAAACTGATATCACGGCCCAAACTAGTGACCGATACGAACGATGCTACCTGGAGCCAAGAAAGACTAGTTGACGCACGTCCCTGAGCAGTAGTATCCACCTTGATTTTCAGATGAACTTCTAGTCGGCGTCGAAACTCGGGTGGTACACACTAAAAAATCGACGAAGAACGTAGGAGATGGACTGGGAATTTGTGTCGTCGAAATTTTTTATCCCTGATTAGGCGTCAGTGAAGATAACAGGTACACAAGGTAACCGAAGATCTTGAACGCCTTCACGTAATGTGCCAGAGTTCAACTAAACTACAATAACGCATGCCAAACCTAAATGACTCAAGTGTAAACACTACCTGGTCAAATTCCAAGCCTATGTGCACCGTAAAGCGGAGGATCGGAAGAGATTGCTGTCCTGGTCGGCCCGAGACTGGTCTCGGAATCCACCCTCGTCGTAGCCATATTCCACGATCTGAGCCTGAACAATTAGGTCCGGTAACGGTACAACGAAGCCGCCATCCAAACACGATTTTTGGATCATCCAGACTGTATGTAGCTGGATTCGGGAGACGTCTGAAGGGGTGAAAATAAAACGTGATGATAGAGCGCAAAATCAGAAATAACAAAGCTCTGGTACATTGGAAGTAGGAGCGTATATCCTGTTCACAGAGTCCACGTTTTATTGAGCGCGAAGAACTTTCTCTCTTTTATTCTCAGACTGCGTCTTGTATTTCTAAGGAGAGTAGTCACACTCTCGAGAATGTCACAAGTGACTTTCCCCAACCATATCAACACAGACCGAAACCTCCGAAAATACCTTAATTGTACGAAATGATAAGTTGTGCTAAGCACTCGATGATGTTAGAATTGAGTCTCGATGATCATGATCCTGTGAACGGAATCAAATCGAATCACAGCTAACTACAGAACGTTCTGCAGATGTAATCTGGACTCGGCTATTAGTAATTCAGCCCTTGACCATCCGAAGCAGACATCGTCGACTTCAACTGCGCGGCTGTTCCCATCTGTGTCAGTAAAGACCCGCCTTAATACCTACGATTGTTCAGAGCATTAGGCCTATAACGGTGCTAGAAGAAACTTTCTGTGACGATGTACGGGTCAGGCTTGATAATATTTGACATCTTGCGGCCATATATATGCGTGCTAAGCTGCATCTGATACGTGGTGGGGACCACCAGACACCCCATGCACATACTGTTTATTTGTTCCGACAGGCTTGACATAAGTAAGCCATAAGTGGTTTCAGAGAGGCTCTAGCTTGACTGCCAAGCAGAACATGTACATCCATCTGCAGTAAACCCAAAAAGTCCAGAGTCACAGATGACTCTCTGGGGTCATCGCCGCTCAGACATACCTGAAACATGGCTGGCATTAGCTGGTGGCTTTGATAGTGACTTCTCCTTTCCTTTAATTTACACTGGGTACGGGACGCTCTGGTGGATTCATTATGACGGCGCAAATCATGTGAGGGTGCTAAACCGGTGTAGTCCGATGTGACTGGTCAATCCGGAAATGGATGCAGCCCACCAATGACGCTCCCTTTTGTGGAAGACGTAAAAACTCATGCATTCAGGCAAAGAATTATTGTAATCCATTTGTAGTTCCTCAATTGCTTTTCAGTCAAACTGTATTTCTCGTCGGGGGAATAATTTCTGATTCCGAGTGCGGACCTAAGGCTGTCACCTTGAAGTGGCGGTCGGGCTTGAGTGCTGCAATGATCCCACCGGCTACACTGGCTAGAACTTAGTTCCACAAGGTGCAACCATTCCAGGAAGGCCAAAGGGGAGCAGTCACACCAAGAGACCTCGTACTATGAGTAACTGTGCTACAAAGTGGTCTGGGGATAAAGTCGTGCTGTCCTCTGTGATGGGAGTGTGGAGGCAGTGATGCGTTTCCCCCAGGTGACCAGCATGTCCATATTCATGGAATCAGTGATGCTGCCTTTCCCGAGGAAGGACGGGTTAGAAAAGGTCAGCACTGAAAACCCCACACTACGATCACCCGATGGTTGACTGTGACCGCCGGCGCATTATTCAATACGGTCGAAATACTTTTAAAACCAAAAAGTTCAGTGGCGCTCAAAAGGAACCTGTTGCGCACAGCCGCATCAGCAATGAGACAGTAATGCCTCATTCCATGCTCGCTCGGCTTAGAACAAACCCTGCAGCCGAGCAGGTCAGTCTATTGACCCATCTGCTCCGAGCAGGGGCCCAAAAGAAAACCCTGCTGTTTTTTACCTCGGGGGTCAGCCTTTCGAGTAAGCGAATCGGTACTGGGTCCCCGAACGCAATTCCACATCCCACCACTATCTTGTGGGTAAGACTTTTGAGTCAAAGGCTCAAACTCAACTTCGATTCAGAGTCGATACTCGTAGCACAGACAACGGAGAGCGACTCCTCCAAATGTATGCTGATCATGAACTGTTTCTGGTCAGTACAAACTTGCAGCAAAAGCACTGGAATCGCGACTGCGATTCGACTGGATATCTTCCAGATCACCAATCATGATTGATGCCAGAAAATTCAAAGCAGCAGGCAACGAGTACAACGGCGCACACAAATTCCTCAAAGGCCAAATAGCAAAGAGCCAAAGGAAAGACCGAGAACTCTGATGGACAGAGAAAGCTCGGGAGATGGAGAAGGCTCGTAACACGGGAAACAGCTGTGACCTATATCAACTGATACGATCGACGGCCAATGAAGCGATAAGTGAAAAAGACGGTTCAATAATTCACTAGCGAAAAGGTCGACTGGAAAAATGGGCTGAACACTTGGAAGAACAGTTTGGCTGGCCTCCTGAGACAACTTGTGAAGAAAGTACATACGGTCGAATGGAATGCAAACATTAATCGTTCGTCAGAAGAAATAAAGTACGAAATATTCGTACTGAAACGTGAAAAGCCACCAGGACCGGAGGTTCTGTATGCGGCCTTGTTCAAAAAAGGCGGAAAATCCCTGGTGCCCTATCTGACAAGCCTTACTGGTGCGGCATGATGCGCCTGCAGAATGGGTCAGCTCGACAGTTATCCGTACCTTGAAAAAGGTACGCGGATGGCGTGGAAACCACCGTGGCACTAGTATGGTAGCTGTGGCATCGGAGGTGCTCTCTGGTCTTATCCTCTGAAGGTTGACTGAACACAGGAAGAGAAAGATCCATGAAAACTAAGCTGAATTCGTCCTACAAGAGGATCGATCACATATTCACCATCTGACAGATCCTGGAACGGTGATACTCTTTCCAGCAACCAACAACGGTTTTATTCCTTGACTTGAAAGCTGACTTTGACTCCGTGGACCGTCAGGCACTACGGTAGTGTCTATGGAGCAAAGGTGTCTCCGATAAATTCTTGGCCCTCCTTAAGTCGCTGTATGCCAACACCCGCGGACTTGTGAACGTTTATAATAAGCTGTTCCGTGAGTTCACCACATCAGGTGGTGTCGGACAGGGCTATTCTCTTTCACCTTTGCTCTTCAACTTCATCATTGATCCGTCCAGAATGACTTCTTTGGTAACCACTTTGTGGATTACCGCCGTCAGGTGGAATCCCACAAGAAAAAAACGTGTTTATTGCATTATACTTCCGAGAGTGACTTGTCCTGACGGGCTACATGGGAATCAAACTGATTTCCTTTTACCCTGTGATGAGAACCAGTCAAACACCTAATGAGTAGGTGAGAAATTACGAAGCAAAGCGCGTTGCATCGAAAACTGAAATAAATACAAAGCATAGTTCACAAAACAGTCTCGGAACAAACGTCAATAAGGTCTTTGGGAAATATTTCAGTGATCACTGGGGTGCTGTTTATCCCCAAGCCGGTCATCAGCGTACTCGCACCATAAAAGCACTAGGCCTTCTGGGAGGTTGTAGGACAGACTTGTTCAGAGAGTGACGCGAATTCACACCCTGGTTGCTGGACAAAAATCCCACATGAATCAGAGTGGGCGGGTTGATCGTTCGCAAAAAAACTCACGCAGAACAATAGCCTGTTGAACTAGGTTTCCTCTGTCTGGGCAATGCGTTTAGAGCTTTTAACGAAATACTCAAAGACTTCCCGGTTGGATAACCATGACATTATTGCAGTTTGAATATCAATTACTGAGCTGGTGAAACAAAGTAAAATGAAAATGACACCACGGACGCATTAAACAAACGACGGTGGTGAGTATCTCGCTTTCAGTGACTTCAAAGACAGACACACGGCAGAAGCAGAGATTCAGTGAGCTATACTGAGCGAAATTATGGGCTTTGAAGGTAACAATGTCTAGCTGCCGGGTTTGAATGTTAGCCCACGTATCCACAGGTTAACACCTTAAATGAGTGCTCTAAACGGGTGTTTCTGTCAATAATGACGATGATTTAGCAAGAGGGCTCGAGAAATAGGCAGAATTTACTGCTGTTATCTGCTCATGAAGAGTGGACATTTAAGGAGAATTTTCAGCAGAAATTGGTCATCTTCCAAGTTAAATGTACGTGACCTTCAGAGTGATGTGTTCTCTAATAATACGGAATAAAGTGTCCTTTCCTGTCGAAAAGCTGTGCTACAGGAATATGCAACTGACAAATGTGTACCGAAGGTGACCGCGCTGCCTAAGGTATCTATAAGTTATTGGCACATTTTGTTAACCGTTGAAGCGCCCAATTCCCAACGTCAACCACCAGGGTCAAGAAAGCGGTTAAATGGTATGGTAGTTCGGGCCGTATGAGAAAGAGACATTGAGATACGAATCCTCGACATAACCGGTATCGTCAAAACGGACGCTAGGTTGATACTGATTAGCAAAGACAACCGATGAGTTGGAAACGCGGAAAAGGCCACGCTCAGGCCCATGGGTTCAATTCAGTGACGCTGCCAACGAAAGTTTCCAGAGGCATGAAGCTCAATAATGTCGTTGTTCAGGTGGACGAAGAATATGCATTCCGAGTTCAGCAATTCAGGCACTATATCTGTTTAGTGTTTTGCTGTGATGTGGAAATGAATAGGAAAGTGCAGGTAGACAGCGCGGTGGTAAAGTGAACACTATCTGGGAATAGAAAGACCAAATGAAGAATATGATGAAGATCAAAATACATGCTCAAATATATTAACAATCTTTAGTTCATACAAGTGGCTGAGTGACCTATGTGCATTTTGGACAAGTAGTGCAGTAACTTTAGGATTTGAAAGCCACTAGGTCCTATGGAAAATGCTACATGAATGGTCGACAGTAATCACTTACTCCAACATAGTGTGATCCATCGAGCGTTCCGAGTTTCCACTAATCTGATCTAAGGTCATGTCCGGACCGTTTGTTGCAGGTTCGTTTATATGTGACAACACGCGTTTCAGGTAATCCAACGCCTTATCAACCTGTAATAATCCGCAACCTTGATCAAAAAGACTCAGGTGCTTAATGGGAATAGCAGTGTTCGAAATCGCCAACCGAACCAGTGACGGAGGTATACTAATGGATGGTCCGAACTGGCCACCCTGTTCACGCAGTCCAGATAGCAGCAGCGCTACAAGATCGAGATTGCAAGGAGTGCCAGTAGAAGAACAATGAATATGTGCAAAGTCGAGAATTGAACGCTAAATCCTGAGAGATACGATATTCACGAACGCTCTCAAAAAGTATCGGACTGAGGATACTGATATCTCCCCGGCAATAAGGTCCGAAAATTCGTTACACGGCTAATTTACTAGCAAACGACGTAAAAATCAAGTAGATTCACGTACAATGTATTGTTATATTCGAGGAAACTGATAACGCAAAGAAGTTTGTTGATAATGTGGCTGCTGGATTACCCTTGGGTTTGATTGAAAACAGTTGGAACCCATAAAAAAACTGTACTGAAATTTAAAATAAATTCACTTGTCCTAGAGAAGAAAGTGGACAATCCCATCGTTCTGTGATTGTTTTTAAACTAGAGAAGGGGTATCTCGAGAAAAAGCTTATAACTTAATTGGAAAGCCAAAGCCATAATACACCAGATCAAGTAGAAGGGAACAAGTGATACACTACAAAAGTTTCTTGCTCCTGTTAGGAAGTTCGGAAAAAGTGGTTGGCGAACCAGAATACCAAAAGACTCCCAAAGAGGATGCAATTGACCCCTGCTAGGAATGTTCCACCTCCAGAGCCTCACATAAAGAGCCATAATTGACAATGAACGCTGTTGTGGAGTCACCAGGAGAACGACGTGAAACCAGAGAAACCAATCTTTGGGGAGCAGCACACACAACTTTACAAACCTGTCGCTTCCTAGGCTAACCATGAGAATCGCGACAGTCAGTATTCGTGCGGACATAACTCAGAAGTGGCTCAAAAACACCGACATGAATACGCTGGATCTACTTCCCGTTTGATCATTGGGACATTCTTCTGCTGACGGAGTCGATATTATGCATGTGTGGTTTATCCAGCTTATCCACCCTGTGTGACTTCTGATGAGGAATATCGGATCGAAGTGCGGCTAGCTTTGGGCCTAGGGATATCCCTACCATGCAGTATTAGTTTCTTTGTCCGGACTAGAGTCAAACACAGGCCCTTCTCACACCAACGGGTTCTAGTCATAATGAAGGCCAGATCCAAAGCATTGGATTTTTTCCGAGAGAAACAGAAGCCCTTGTGTTCCTAGAGTCAGCAGGATGTTTCCGTGCATTAAAAACCGAGACGTTTTAGGAGGAGTGAGGCATAGCGAACATTAACAGTGGATGGACTTGTCGAGTTACTTCTTCGTTACCAGATATAAGACGGTTGACAAAACTATGTGGCGATTCTTCAAACAAACATCATGCAGGCCCTACTCAAGGGAGTATATTTTACGAATTTCACGCAACCAGGACCAACAAGACTGGTTCATCCTTGATGAGTTCCATCAGCAGTGTGTACTGGGAATACAAAAAAGGACGGAATAGTATACATAATCTGTCGTATGTGATGCATATGAATAATATGATAAGTATGACCTTTTTTCTCAGTGCATGTAGGCCCACTGACTCCGGTTCGCCACTTTCACTGACGTGGCTGAGTGAAACATGGCACCAATTTCAATTATTATGTATTAGAAACGAAGAAAACGGATTCAAAAACGGCAACAGTCAAATAATAATTGTATCAGAGACCCGCACTGACCTACGCCACCAGCAACCAACGGTGCACTCATTGAACTACCGTTCAACAGTGCCGAAGGTCGCAGCTGCCAACCGGCCACCGAAGTGTTGGCTGCCCCGGGTGCAGCCACACATAACCCAAGAGCGCCATCTACGGTTGGTCCACGACTTCCCCAAGTGTAAGCTGCCGGCTGTGGAACCTGCTTGATTACCTGGATATCGGAGGTGGCTGTAAAAAGATCTGAAGTGTTGGTCGCGTAGTTGGACGGGTCTTCATCTACGCTCGCGTCACACAAGTCCGTGATTTCGACTGGCTGACTGTACAGTGAAAGCATCATATCAGGGAAGACGAGCGGTGCAACTCCTGGTGAAAAAAATCGGAGTTTCAAGTTCGTACAGCAAATTCCAGTTAATCTATTGGGCATGGAAAATGTGTACCAATGTGCAATGCAGCTTGGTTGTCAGTATATACATTAGGCTACAGGAACGCCCACAAAGTGTCGGTCTCTCGAGTGGGCTAGGTGGATCACTTAAAACATCGAAAAAGCATAAAAATTGAACCTCTTCTAAATAAAACTCGTAAGGACAAAGATAAAAAGTAACAAAAATCAAATCTACTACATGGTGGCAGAGTCATTAGGCCACACCAACTGCTTCATTATATTATCGCTACCTTCAGTTATCACAGATAACGAATACCAAGACTGATTACCCAGGGTACTGAAACACTTGAAAAGCCTGAAGAAGCCCCCCTCGTGTCTCCGGCCATTCCTAATCGAGAAACGGCGAAAATATTCACTAGCAGAAACAAAACCATCACGTTAACACGGTTTTTGGACCACATGTGGAAGTCAACGACAACAACAACAGGAACCACTACGAAAAGAAGGGGAGAACTAGAAGATGCTCATTCAAATGTGAGTACCCAACGCGCTATCATAAAGACAATGACTCCCGATTAACGAGGCGTTCAAAAAACCTGTTTATCAAAGACATAGTGATAGTTGCGGTGAACTGGATACAAAATGGAAGAGCATACCAATGAGACCTTCAACCACTCCACCGGGACAGCCAACAGTTCCCAGACCCGGACCGTTGTTGCCTCCACTGGCGACCATAACGACTCCATGGGCGTGCATCAGTTCGCTGAGATGTTTGCAAACCCTCCTGAAAGTGAGGCAGAAGCAAACCTTGACAATAAGTGCAGCATTTAGATAATAGTGTGACCGAAAAAGACCCGGAAAAAGTACAAGTACAGGGTGAAAAGTATACTCCGATTTCCAGAAAAATAATCCGAAAAATGTTTCACTACATCGACCGTTGATTGAGCTTTTTACCAATTCCTGGGATGAGAGCCGATATACACGAAAGGATGGAGTGCGGAAAAATGGTTCGCAAGAAGGATTGCAAAGTTTTTACACCAACATCAGTATAGTTTCCTTTAGGCGCTAATTAACTATTTCGAGAAAATAAGTATCGGCCTGATATTCGTTACGTTTTCGTATATTACCGTCGGCTTTGATAAGGCTGTCGTCTATGCTTCGCCCGAAGTAAACCAAAACCTGCGTTACTGAAGTATATTCCGAGTGTAACTTTCTCTGCCTCATCTCCTGCAAATGTATCACTTTAGGAGAGAGTACTTCAACTCAGAAGAGTAGAATTCATTGCAGTATTCATTCGAATATCACCGTTGCGCTGGGGAAATACGGAAATAATCATGTCTCAGGATATGTCGTTTCAGCCTGCATGGTAGAGGTATTCGAGGGTAGAAAGAAAGGTGTAGTATTGATTGGTCTTCGAAAAGAGGGCAGCTTTTACAATCTCTAGCCATCAAAGGCGTGCGTTCCTGAAATGATCGGAATCAAGTTCCCGCGTGCATCGGTACACTGAAGTGTTTGATTGACCACTACAGTAACCAACCAGTATTGTTAAGGGCTGGAAACCTGAAGTCAAGTCGGTTGTGAGGAGATAACAGTTACAGCACTCTCTTCCAACAAAGAACTTTCTGTAGGGACCTCACCCCCACTGCGGCTGCGCGGGCGTATATGGCTATCAGTGTTCGGTATTCCTTCTCTGTATAACATAACATTCTGTCCAAAACGACTGCGTCAGATCTGAACATACGTTACGATGGGAACCAATGATAGTTCAAGCGGTACTCTAATTTAGGTTGGTGGTACGAACTCGTTGTAATTACGCGGACTGTTGATAAACGTTCTGTGATAAAGCTGGTGAACCGCCTAAAGCACAACTGAACTGTCGTCGTTAGGCAAAAACATCGAGTAATTACAACCACAATTTGTGGAACACGAAATCTTCGATTTAATACACCAATTCACCGTGGAAAGTTTACGGTTAATACGGCTAATACCGTGATTTGCCTTTTCACCGGACAAAGTCAAGTTTCACGTATAACAACTCCCAACCATTACGTTTCATTCGCCACTGTACCTGCATACAGGAAAGTCTGTTTTGGCCGCAAGCCCTAGAGGATGTGGAAAAGCTTCCCTCAAAGTGACAACGACCGATAAATCAGAGAACAGAACAATTACTGAAAGTAGCCACAGCAGAAGTTGGTCCGCGATTTAATGACAATGAGAACTTCCGATAGCAAGTTAACTGACCTAGTTGGTGCGACGGTTTTTAATTCGGCGCTGAAAAGATGTGATGTTCGGCTAAAATGAAGAGGGCTGACTAATATTTAAGAGCGCTCCCAACAGCCGTTCATGTCCTGTAGTTGGACATACTAGTGGTATGTTGACACGTGACTGTGAGACAATCGACCACATAGTTACAAGATAGGAGTAGAGTGCAGCAGAACTCTACTTTGTATGGTTTACAAACGAATTTTAAAAAAAAGTATAGTGTGAAGAAAACAGAATAAGATGTCTTCCGACCTACCCAACATTGGGCCAAACGCAGTACTCTCCGAAACTGTAATTCACGACGTCGCACTTCAGTTCAACAGTCCAACGAATCTGCAATCACAGGGTAGGATGTACAGAAAAAAAGATGAGGCTGGGTTCGATCGTACCTAGCTGCGATGCTAACATATTAGCCGGCAAGATCCTACATACATATACCGGTAACTGGGTGAAGCGATCAACACAAATATGGGTTTGCACAATTCGTACCGGCAGCAAGGGGCCTGTGGTTACCTACAAACCTAGCACTAGTTCAATTCGTCGCACTGCGGATGCCAACCCTTTGAGTGTAGGCATTTCAATTTAAGATGTCCAGAAATCTCAATTGGCCACCCAATAATTTGCTTCCAAGAAACTGGAAGCAATTTCAACATGAATATAAACCCTCTTTGGTGGTCCGATGAAAATTCTATGGTCCATCGATGTTAAAGTAAAAGGTCCTGTGTGATGAAAACCTCTCGTGGGCGCACAACACCGTGCAACCCTATCCGAAATAGGCGCCGCGCGCTCAGTTATCGGGACACCGAACGGATGCGTTCCATAGATGAAAACACGTGCACGTCTTCCAGTTAAAATAGGATATGAACGACTCAATTCATCATTTTTTACGGTAGCTAAAGGTACAGTGGCGTAACACAACGAATCCAGTGACAGAACTCGGATAAAATGTCCTCGACGAAAGATGTCCAAGAAGAGGAAACGCCCGTGTTTCGAAAACACCTCGCCCAAAAAAAGGGAGAACAGAGAAAAAAATTCCAGAAAGATAGTGAATCTGGTGAACAGGTAATTGTACTGAGACTTTCAGAGACAAAATGGTTGTACGGAATACACCCACCCACCCGAATAAAAATCTTTGTAATAGCATGTTTCATCGCATGCTGGAGAGTTACTACATTTTGCATGAATCCGAGAAATCACACTCAGGTTGACTTTAGGAAATTCATTCTGTCAGTCAAATAGTCGAATAGTCTTTAGAGATGCATGGGAATGGATGACCACTTGTCTTCCAACAACCTTATGGGTTGATCCCAGCATGTCAGGTTCACCGCATCATCAGCCGACAGAAAAACACTTTGACACCTTCGAAATCGATTATGCTGAACCCAGAGGCAGCCTTTAAGCTGCAATTTCGCCTGAAAAACGGACTTCATTGGAATCTTAAGTCCACTTCCGTGGTCTCACTCTCAATAGATGAATGGTCCATTAACCCATTACAGGAGTTGGGCAAACGATATACGTCTCCTCAACTGAAGCAACGCGCTAAAGCCGTACTTCGCTCATACAGCTGGCTAAGTCACTGTTATGACCACTGAACTCCATCCTCTCGCGTGACCGCACGTAACGCAGACCTTGTGGTCAACAAGCTTTCTAGCAACTGAAGCACGGTTACATTGTAGCATTCGGCTCCCATGTCCGACCGGCTGCTAATCTCAGAAGCACCATCCTTTTGAATGCATGCATTAGAGGCACCGGGTGACGAATGCACTAACACGGAATAAAGCCAATGCTGCCTCCAGCTCATATATCCAGCTTAATAATCTTTAGGGAGATAAACCCGTCCTTCACTGTACAGGCTAGAGCAGCCGAGCAACGAAAACGTCCTCCTTCACCCTTATGTAAAGCGACAACCACACACTCAGTCCACTCATGCAGCAAATTGCCATACCAAAAGTCAAACGCGTCACCGTCAAGCTTAGCAGATGTTTATTGTCAGTAATCGAACATGTGCAGTGGTTTAGTCTAAGGTTTTCCTACAATATATGCACGGATTAGTCGACTATTCATTTCCTTTGCAGTGGGCGAGATGCTAATCTCAGAAGCACCATCCTTTTGAATGCATGCATTAGAGGCACCGGGTGACGAATGCACTAACACGGAATAAAGCCAATGCTGCCTCCAGCTCATATATCCAGCTTAATAATCTTTAGGGAGATAAACCCGTCCTTCACTGTACAGGCTAGAGCAGCCGAGCAACGAAAACGTCCTCCTTCACCCTTATGTAAAGCGACAACCACACACTCAGTCCACTCATGCAGCAAATTGCTATACCAAAAGTCAAACGCGTCACCGTCAAGCTTAGCAGATGTTTATTGTCAGTAATCGAACATGTGCAGTGGTTTAGTCTAAGGTTTTCCTACAATATATGCACGGATTAGTCGACTATTCATTTCCTTTGCAGTAGGGCGAGATGGCTCAAGTGGTTAGAGCGCGAATTCACTGGCCGGAAGGTCCGTGGTTCAAACCCGACCTCTGCCTCTTGACTCCCCCTGTCTAGGATTGGGCAACCTGACAGTATCCCAGTCCTCGTGCCTCCTTCGTGTGGCATGGCAGCTAGGCAGCGAAATGGTGCTACAGATGAACGAAAGCATCTTCCTTTGCAGTGGGCTTCCTCCTTGGTTTGCTGGTTCTTTCAATTTTCTCCAGATCAAACCTGATGAACATCCACCTAGTAAGATTAAGCGATGTGAATAGCCTCAATACTAACGCAAGAAGCATCTCTTTTCGGGGACGCTAAATTCTTCTTCGCAATTATTGCTGAGTTTTGAGGGTTGCGTCAATTGAGCGTATCCTACAGTAGAAAATTCGGGTTCGGTAAAGTTATTTCTTTTAAAATGGCTATCGTATGTTAAGAGACTCCTCACTAGAAGAACCACAGCATAATTAAATAATGCTATTAGTATGTTGATAGCACTAAATTCACACGTTAAAACGTGCTTGAACGTCAAAGTGTTATATCAAGGTTCAGTGGTATGGACATCTGCGAAATACCATGGCTTGTAACACAAAAACAAGCGAAGACCAATAAACGGCAAAAAACAACACATAAACTTATCAATACTTACCGCTCGTAATAAACTGATACCGGTTTCCATTGAACCCAGACGAGAATCGGAAATTTTGATGCTGACAATCTGAGCACCGGGGGCAACGCCGTTCCGATTTTGCCCGGAGAATAAATTGTGTACATTGTTTAGATCAGACGGAAAGTAAGCCGCTGCCATGGCTGCAACGTGTGTCCCGTGTCCACTGTCGTTAGTTACGATCTGAAGTAGTTTGCCGTGATTGAAGATCTTCACCGTGTAGAAAAGTTGAGCTGCAATAAATTGTAGTCTGTTAGAAGACATTATCACGAAGCCTAATGCAACCTTCGCACTCACTTTGCAGATGCCACACGTGAGAAAATACAGGTCTTCCAAGCTTAGATGACTACAAATCATGAAAACGCTTCCGGGCATTAGTTAAAAGGTGTCCGATAAGAATTAAAGACTCTCGAAATGAGGCTTGTGAGAAGGCCTCGAAATTCGGTGCATCGGTTTCGCACCGACGGTATGCAAGTGCGGACTGTCGAAGCTCTGTTTTACACGAGTCAACGAAACTACAATGTAGATAAGAAAATGTTCTCCAGAAGCGTGAAATTTCCCTGCCGCGCATTTAATCTACCAGTTCCTTTGCAGCTGTAAGGACATTTATACATCGGTAGCGCTGATCCAAATCTATCGTAACTGGTGGAAAAACACACGTCACATTGTGTCCTCTGAGAATCGTCCAAAAAAAGTTGAGAGTTAAACCGCGACCCTTGTTCGTTTGTTGCGGTGCGCTGGATGCAGAACGGCAATCAGAGATATCCTCAATTTTTATCCAAGGCACCGCTGCGAAACCAGAATCCCAAACTTCCAATATACGGACGAGGCATTATCAACCCAAGTTCGCAAGCCAACTATGGACGCACAAAAAGTTTTAGAGCGTTGCCTTCGGTAGCCGTGAGTTTAATAATGTGACACCACTATAATATGTATGTATTTATGTATGTATGTATGTATGTAATATGTATGAAACCGGCGAGGTCTATGGGTAAAGCGAACAGGCCGCGACATGTTTTCTGTATGACGCAGTAGATCTTGGACATACTCATTTCATCGGAAACTTATCTAGACTGTGCAACAGTGAATGGCAAACCAAGTCAGTTAAGTGTTCATAAGGACTTAGAACGTGTGCAACGTCAAATAAACTGTCAACCTTTATCCTTCGTACATCAAGCATTGGTAAGTCTCGCATGGAATTCGATAAATTCCCCGTCTAGACAACAGTGCGACAAGTCCAAGGAACAGGAACAAGCTGCCTGGTTAGTCACATCTCGTTAATTGAGTGGCATTATATGGGAAAACATTCGTTCTATCTGCTTATGGCACTTCAGGTAAAGTCGCTGGAAGTCCGCACTTTTAATGCGCTGCATGTGAAACGTAGGTCCAATATGATTTTCGGTATGATGAACAGGGGCACGTTGCATGTGTATGACAGGGCAAATGAATCCAGTTTTACTTGTTTCGGTGATCACCTCGTCTTTCACTCTGAGAGAGAAGTGGCCGATTAATGAACTTATCGCAACTGGTACAAACAGGGACAACACCAAAACCAAAAACCGAATTCATCATATAATCTGTACTACACAAAACATGCTTGATAAATTGAGCTGATGAGACTGAAAATGTCTGGTAAATCGATACAAATGCGAGCAACGACCGGACGATTATTACCTATTCGAGGCGACTAATTACGATTGGGCGGGGTATCACAACTGGCATGTGACCGTAGGCTCATACGAAAATAAAATGATAAATAATCGTTCACTTGTCGCACAAGGAGCAGCGGGATGATACAAATGCAAATCAAAAACTTCATAATGGACTACTTGCTACGTTTCCTTGAGAAGCCTAATCACCATCACAGTAAGCTTACCATCACACAGTCTTGATGTCATTATCGAACAAAGAACCGGTTAACGCTTTCTCAGGCGGTGCATTTTCACACTGGTAACCAACTAAGAGATGGCTCCAACGAAAACCAAGAGATGGTTTATTATCCCACCGAAGTCTGATCTTCAAATCATCTACGAGTGAGGTCACATCAACGGGAAAGCCTACCGCGTACACCACTATGAAGTTCAGATACATGTTTTGGCGCAAGAAAGAAGTTGAATTTAAGATAAACACCCAATTTGTGGGCGTCTGGCGAAGGCGCAACATGCAATGGATAACTGCCATCTAAATAGATTTACCGCGCGAAAATGACGTAAGCTACATGTAATCCATAGTAAGTACGAGACCTGAGGTGTTATCATGCTGTCCAGGTCTACACAAGTTATACACATCGTCGGGAAGTTTCACCGCTGTGACCCAAAGGTGTAGTCGCCCTTTAAGCAAGTCCGTAGCCAGACAATTTCCAAATGTGTGGGCGTAGGGATACGACAGTGATTCCAACTAGGACTGCACGCGATACGGTTGTAAACCCACTGGATTGCCTTGATTTCAAAAGTCGTATAACAACACCACACCGCACCGCAGAGATCCTAACTGATCTAAATTCATTGAAGACCAAATAGATTCAGTGTGCGCATTCATTTTTCCACTGCGACGAACAGTAACTAGATGGAACTAAGCAACTGGGAGTATGAAGCCTTCGTAAGCAAGGTATCAAACGTAACCAAAGCATTCTTTGCGCACAGTTGTTGAGGCAAATCCCGCTGAGTTTCGATGGGTCGATGTACTTTTGACACAATACGTTCACAACATAGCATATATTCTGGATACTTTTCGGTTCATGACAAATGATTCACGCCCTAGTATTACGATACAGCTATTAGAACCATGAATAATTAGCTGGAAACATGTGGTATATATGAGTATAACTTACTATCATTTCCAAAGCATGCATACTGACGTCCATGAGAGTAGTCTGCCAGCAAGGGCATATCTGCCAAAGTCTTTCCTGTCTCGTAAGGGCTGGTATCCACGCAACCTCTGAAAGCATAAAGACGTTTGAGGGGCGCAACGTAATCGCACATCGACAATTGGCCGATCAGGACCAAACGGAACCTATCCCATACAACAGATAAGAAGTGAGCTCTTTTAGCTTTGTACAATCCCCATTTTAAAAAGCAATTACCTGCCTTCTTATCTTCTAACTTAGCTGAAGATAACCATGATGAAGTCCAGAATGTTAGCAGCCATCGCCTCCTCGCTTACGTTAAGTATGTTTGCTAGTGTTTAACAAAAGAGCACGAACTCGGTGAAATGCCTTTTAATCAGGCTCATTGCTTATGTATCGATTGGGTTGAACAATTCACTCGAGAAAGTCGATTATAAAGTAGTTTCAAGCTCCCTGAATACAAATCCTCACATGAAAAGAAACAACAGAACGTGAGGGGAAACTTTTCCACCAACACAGTAATCTCTTGGATGCTAAACAATCTACTGTGTGGTTAACATATCCTAAGATGACGATACGAAACACGTAAGCGTTAAATCAATAGACTCGGGCCTTATTAGTTCTTCTCGAAAAAGTCTGAGCGCAGGCTCATTTTTCACAATGGCATAGACCGATAAGCAGGTGTCGCACAAAGTGCCTCATTTACGTCTCCTTGACAATAGCCTTTTTAGGGTCGGTGATGCCCACAATAAACGAATTGAGTGTCGCTGAATGTTTTGGTAAGCAAAATGAGATTAGAAAAGTAGAACGGTTATGAGTTCGTTGCAACAGTGAGAAGATGAAAGCAAAATGAGAATGATGCCTAACGGAAGTCACTGACCTGTGGAGGTTGGAGTCATTTAGGAATGGCACCAACCTATCGGAACGAAGGCTTGTTGGGCCCCACTTTCTATACGTCCTGGTCGTTGGTTTGTTCGCTGAGCTGCGTAGCGCTACACACCACTAAGCTCCCTAACAACGCACTGATAGTGTCACCCAGATTGCTGATGAAACGTTTGCAATCAAATTGCCCAGCCAGCGACTAACGCTGAGCTGCGTAGCGCTACACACCACTAAGCTCCCTAACAACGCACTGATAGTGTCACCCAGATTGCTGATGAAACGTTTGCAATCAAATTGCCCAGCACAGCGACTAAGTAATTAAAATTAACTGCAAAAAATAACCTAGAGGGATGTAATCAGTGCCCTACTGTTTAAGTTCAGGAATCCGCGCCACCCTAATGTTGCTGATGAACTAGCAAACAGTATGAGCAGAAATCTGAATCGAAACAAGCTATACAGCATGTCTCAGTAGACTTACACCCAATGGGAGCCATTGTGGAACACAAAGCAGTCGAACACCATATCTTGAGGGGAATAATGACGGTCCAGTGTAGTCAAACTCTCCTCCAACAATCGGGCACCGGTTTTCAGTTGGTGCTGCATGATGGGAACAAAGATAGACTGTAGAGAATGACGTTAAGCACTACTAGCTTTGAACATCATGATGTATACCGAAAAAAAAGAACAGAAGAGTAAACATTTCAACCACTGAGTTAGTGGAAGAAATATTAGAGTACCGCTATCATTGAAAAAATAGAGCTTTCTAAAGGATGGCATACGGTACTTTAAAAACACAACACCATAAGCTATAAAAATACAATGAATATTATGGTAAGTATGTGAAACTATTTGCGGACCATGGGAGAATCGTTGGTAGAATCACACTGCGTCTTCTTCGACTTATCAGCATTCTCTCGTTTCACACTCCCATCCGAATCGCCATCTAAAACAAAGAAATTTGAAATTTTTAGTGATCTACCAGCCTCCGATTAAATTTTCACACTAGACAGAGTTGTATCTAGGCCTACTAACATTCACTTTCACCAGGCCTAGAATAAGCGAACTATCGAAAGTTAAAATTTTTACACTGTCTGGCAGACTACAATCATACAATACAACTACAAAGTACAACAGGAAGATTGATGGTCAAATGCATGCAGGTAATTGACTGGCAGAAAGGACGTAGAGTAACTTTACAGAACAAGTTCCCACCACTGGGAAGTTGGAGCCCTTGACTCCTCTCGGGGATAAGAAAATGAGGCTGACCAATCTAACTTATGAGGCTTGATTTATTCTGACAAGTTGTTGATTTGGTTGCTTGTCGTGTGAATAGTTATGCTGTTCAAGTCATCGATCCTCACAGAAAGTCACACAATTACCAGGCTGTGACCCTAGTAATTACTCAGTTGTTAGGTGTAAAAAGTGTGGCACGCCCCGGCCGCTACAAATTCGCCGTCTTTTATCCTACCGAAGACCCTCATTGAGGGACTTTTGATCATCCTCCGCCCATCCCTGACAGTCCTCATTGGAAGGTCAGCCCCGTCAAACTGAATACACAGCCAGGGAGTATACGAATGCCACGGTCAGAGTGTGCGCATAAACTGCTGCAAGGTACTCTGTCCGACGTCAAAATGAACAACTAAACCAAAGCAATCAAATAAAAGTAACGTTCGAACTAATCGGTCCCACGTTTAAGTCAGTCAGGTACGAAAACGACTATTCTCAAATACTAACGAAATTATACCAGAAAATGTGGTAACCAATTATCTCGGAACCACAACAATATAGCGCGTGAGGCCATAGGATTTGAGAGTCAAAAACCGAATTACAGACGCTGAACTACAAGAATTTGAGCAAAAAGCGAAGTTTATGCTGTTTCTAGAATCGAATATACTTGCTGTCGGGCAAGACATTCATAGTTTACCCTCGGGTTAGAAAAATCTTGCGCATACCATACGCAACTTCGACCACGGCACTCCAGAACACTGATTACCTAGAAGATTGGAGTCAGAGCTCTGCAATTCAGACAGAGCCGTCTGCGTGTCAATCACATCTTCCGCAACGGTCGCAGCCAGTTGCCTCATGAAGGGACGCCAAAAATTATCCTTTTCCTCAGACCGCAAACGCTGGATGAGAGGACGAGGAAACAACTCGGACGTCAGCTTCACGCCCAAACGAACCAATCCGTCGGGTGGGTTCCAGTGTTGGGGAACCTACGAACAAAATAAGTGAAGTAACTGGGAGCAAAAGCCAAGATGACAGTGCATGAGACGAAGTATAAATACGGCAAAAACAGAGTTCGGGCAAGGTAGTTCAACAGACAGGGCAGAAGAGAAAACTTTTGCATCAAAGAAAAGCCAACCCACTTTATAGCTAATAAAAGCAAATAATTGCTAGGATACTGATGCTTAGACCGCTCGAAACACGATCTGAAAATGTGTACAATCATACAATCATAAACGACCAAGTCTCCAAGAGGTCACCTCCCAACAAGACCTAGTGTTGTATGACCAGAAGTATCTACTAAAGCACGGGTACTGACAACACTCCAGCAGAACAGGCAGTCGAACCAGTTTCAAAGATTCGTTCTCACGAGAAAATAATTTATGGTCAAAAGTGGGTAAAAGATAGCTACCAAAAACTGTATGGAAAACAAAGCGAAAATGGTGATGAAGTAAGGCTCTGCTTTCCGACGGTGGACAGCGGCATCACGGTTACGTAGATGATACTGTATGATTACCAGAGATACGACTCTGTAACTTGGCTTCTATGTTGGTGTCTTTGAAAATCAGTTTTCTGCAGATACCAATACGCATCATAGTTGGAAACAAATGTCAGCAGACCATAAGTCTAACTTTAGTATGGTTGTAACGAATGGTTGTTTCATCTAGATTGCCTGCTTCTGGGAATGTTCCAAGCTGAGCAGTGAAATAGTTCGCCGATAAGACGAAGATAATCGTTCAGCAGCAGCACCCTTTGGGTACCTAGCTGCCATGCCTCCTGAGGAAGCACGCGAAGATAATCGTTCAGCAGCAGCACCCTTTGGGTACCTAGCTGCCATGCCTCCTGAAGGAAGCACGAGAGATGGAATACTACCAGGGTGTCCAAGCCTACAAAGGAGAGGCTGAGATTCATAGGTCGGGTTCAAAGTACGGACCTTCTGGTTAGTAAGTTCGCACTCTAACCACTGAACCATTTCGCCAAACGGCCCGAAGAACTCATCCCCAGGGTACGATTTAATGTAAGGAATTCCTTCAAACGTATACACGGCTCATTATGCGTCCTAGGTGAAAGGAAAATGAACACAGATAGGAAAAAACGAAGGCCACAATAAACGGAATGAAATCAGGCGACATAAAAAGTCCAGAGCGATCCATATGATCCACACGATACTCCTTTATAAGAAATAACCCCAGAGGGCAATTCGTTTATTGGAGATATCGCTCGCGCCCGAGTTCAACAAAAAATATCCGAAAGGAAGCTAATTTCAAGCATGCAAAAGCAATGGAATGCAAACAAAAGCAGTACTTGTGGCGATTGTCTTCTAAATTACTTTGGTATGCATGTATGTCGTTTTTCGATTTCCAATTGAACTCGCTTCATACAGTATCAACCTATCGCGACCTGTGCCCAAAGGTGGAAGCCCTCATCTGAGGCAGGCTATCCTTCCAATTCGTCATCTCGCAACACCCTGAATGTCCCCCAACTGTACTTATCGGACAATCAAAGTCAACAAGCTGGAATCCAGAGATAAACTTCTAGTGTAAAAATAATGTTACTTTTTTCTACCCCATCCAAAAGACGCGCAGCTGATGTAGAGAAAATGGAAAATTTTATCAAAATCAAGAGAGCTTGTTTCGACGATAAGGAATTATCCTGCTGATGTTTTAACCACACTCACGACTCCGTTTCAGTGAACGAGAGGAGTTCCCTTTCCGAAAGAATCAGTAAGGACAACCTGTGATTTGTTTACATTATTTAGAGTCGTCTTAGAATTTACTTAGTGTTGAAAGCACAAAATCTGTGATGGGACAAGTACAGACCACGCTTTAGACAACCGTTTCTGGACCGCTGCGGTCCGTTGCATAGTCCAAGTCGATTCAGCTCCCCGCAGAATAGCAAGGATGTTACTACGGACAGACACTCAGGAGGTGAGGGGTTTTATTGACTGAGTTCAACAGTGGTCCATAAGGCAAGAGTAACAAAATCGAGGTTCACAAAGGTATTCCTTTTGATGAAAATGGAACAGATGAGGGATTATTTGCCTGTGGAAAAGGCTAAAATTTGTATCATGCTCGTTTGGTAGTGGAAGATAAGGAATATCTGAATGACTTCGTAAACACCAGTTTTATCCTGTCCGAATAGGGGAATCTCCCGGTCAGAAAGCCGAAAGGATGGGAATAATAATGCATATTAATAATGCATATATTAAGTACATTAGACTTAAAAGCATAGATCACTATTTAGTAATCTGTGTGGCTCTCGCATCCGACGGTGCAGCTTAGCCAAATGCACCAAACAAGAAGACCAAGGGTGTGCATAAAAAATCGCCATGCAATCCAAGCACAATCACGTTTCCAGCCATAAACTACGAGGCGGAAACGTGTGCAGACTTACAGTTACTTTGCGTCCAGTCAGTGTAGTTATTTCTCTGCTTCTCAAGTCAATATAGCGCTTTTCCGTCATTTTGACGTCACCAGACCCTGAAGCATCAATCATATCAATGATTTTCGGTTTTCCATCAGAAGTAACCTTGAAAAGCAAAAAATGACGTGGAACGTTATCCCAAGACAATGCGAGAACAAAAGGTCTATCAAAAATATTGACAACACGATCCATACGAAGCTGTATGACTGGCTGCCGAAAAACGATCAACCAATGAATCCATGTACTTTGTGTCAACAGGCGTTGAGGCGATGCTTGCAATCCAGTTATTTTGTGGCGATGCAATCACAGACAGTTAGAAGATTCCAAGACAAAGTATGGATATCTGTGCCTATGAAACCTTGTATTATAGATTTATCACATGCTTGCTGGTCTATAAGTTCAGCTCAGTTTACTAACCATAGTTTCAGCGTGAGAGATATAACCAAGCACTGGAGAAAATGGTATGATAAGTTAGCTTGTATGGAATGGCGGAAGGGGAAACTGGACAGCTGCATTTTGAAGACGATGGCTATTATTCAGGAATGTCACTCATCAGGTAATTGATCCATGTATGTTATGGAAAGGTTTTGATGTAAACTGGCCGGTAGATCGGTAGAAATTTCGCATCAAATGAGAAAATCGTAACCTGGGCAGCGAATTACTCATAAGAAACAGAGCAAGTAGCAATATCGAGATAGACCACTGAGAAGGGGTGGCCTCTTCTGGTGGGCCACAAACAAGATCAAGAATGGCCACGAAGGCTGCTATAAAGTCACCAGCGTGTGATCGTCCTTAAGCGAGAACTATTGTAGATATTGTATATGCTAAGTCGAGGAAACTAAAACAAATGTCAATACTGTCTCATAAACAGAGGCACCGCAATAAATTACACTACAACCCCTTGAAAAACCCGGTTTAATAGCTCTGAGTTACGAAAAGATAAAATTTACATTCATGGAAGCATACCTGTAGTCCATCAGCAGTAGGATCAACACCCGTATCCCAAATGGCAATAGTTGTGTTCCGACCATCAATTGTTGGCTTGTTACTCGCCAAAGCATCCACATTTATGTGGCGCCGCGGCAAAAGTTCGCCAGAGTTCATTGAAATAGATGCCTTATAAAAATTACCGAACGTATTATACGGCAATCTGAGGGTGCAGCCTGCAAGATTAAGACAGATATTCGAAATGCGAATAGGCACGATCTGGAGAAAAGTTGCGCAATCTTCTTCTTGGTAGCTCAGGTAGCGTAGATGGTGGTTGGCTTGTTCACTGAGCAATCGAATTTCACAACTGAGCGAACAAACCAACTACCATTGCTCCATTTTCCACGGCTGTTTTTGTTAAATATTACCGTAATAAATGGACCGGTGTACAAACGGAGGGCTGACCATCTAAGGGACAATCCCCCAAAGACTATCGATGATCTTATACCTCTGACATTCGTTCGGTGTTGGGCCGCCAAGCATCCCGAAAAAAGCACGAGGCATCATCATCATCATTGTCATCATCTTCAACAGAATGACATCCGTGTTCAACACCGATGCTTCGCTGCCGTACATAGATTTAAGCAGTGGCACTGTTCGGTGTGATATTCAGTGCTTGAGTGAGCCTGGTGGTGCCGAGCACTCTGCAAAGAGCCATCTCTTTGGCTATCTCGTCCCAGAGTGAGTCCACATCTGAAGGTGGAGCTTTTGGAACACAATTCTAGAAGACGATTCGGCTGAGCTAGTACAACATCCGGATTCTCCAGTTTTTCAGTTGCCAGGCGATTTGTCCGCACCATACGCGATCCTGGAAAACGTAGGGAGAAGCGACTAAGGCTGGGCGTGTGGTCAGAACAGCTTGCTGTCCCGCTTTCTTTGGAAGCTTTCTTCTTCGAAGCTTGAAGATTGATTTGAAGGGGTCACGTGACAAGCAGTTGTTGTAAGCAAAACCGATGCAAGACGAGCAGAGTCGTCAGTCCTACAAGAGAGGTATTAATGGGGCGGGGAGAGCGGGAAGAAAATGTATGTAAAATAGGAAAAAGAGAGATGTCAGCAGAAGCCGGGTTTCGCTTACCCGCCCCGCTGTATGCAGCAAGTAAGGCGATCCGGATGATGGCACCACGCGGCAGCTGATGTGGCATGAGGCCACTTGTGCAGTTCATGATTGTACGTCATGCTCCTGGAATTGCAGTCACTGAACAAGCCACTTACAATTCAAGGGGAAGCACTCGAAGTTGTGGAGCGTTTTACGGATCTTGGAATTTATATTAGTCCCAACTGTAGTGTGACGGATAAGGTTAATGCACGAATCTGCGAGGCTCGGGTCGCGTTTGCTAATTTGGGCGCCTAAGGCGTCAAAGTGGTGTATCCTGAATCTCAAGGGACGTGTGTATCAAACTACAGTGCGGGCTATTTTGTTTTATAGCTGTGAGGCTTGGTCTGTTCGGGCAGCGGAACTGAGGCGTCTCCAGGTGTTCGATAATCGTTGTCTCAGAACCATAGTTCGTGCGGGTTGGTATCAGCGAATCCGTAACGTGGCAGTTAAAAAGCGCGTTTTCGGTTGTGTAACGGGTACTTCCATTGAAGAATGTGTCCAGCACTAGAAGCTGTGTTGGTTGAGACATATGTTGCGTATGTCTATCGTTTGCCGAAGAGAGTGCTATTTTCCATGCCCAACTCAATGTGGCAGAAGCAGAGAGGTGGCCAACCCTTGACATGGCAGAGAGGTATGAAGGAAATCACAAAACGTTTGGGTGCTTCCGGTGCTACTCGCCTTCCAGGATGGGGACCGCGTGATCCTCACTGCACCTGGTTGGAGACGCTGCAAGATATGGCTTCTAACCGAAGTCAATGGCGATCTTGTTGTCAGTTTCTATCCAGATCGCCTGAATGAGTGTCTGGAGGTGTAATTAGTTCGGAATGATTGTGGTAAGCCAGCCAGTACCTTCCCCGTCCACCTTTATTATTTTCTTTACAATAAGGCTGTTAAACAAATCATGGTTGTACGGCAGCAAAGCATCGATGTTGAACACTGATGTCATGCTGTCAATGATGGTGATTGATGACGTGTGGTCAGAGTCCACAAATGTGTTCCAAAACGACCGGCAGTCAGTTATTGATCCGAGTCATCGGCAAGTGATGACAATGTGGTCGATTTCATTTTGTGGCCGGCACGCCGTTGGAGGACATCATGTGTCCAGACGACTGCGACTATTTCAGAAGTCAGCACTGCATAAAACCCGCCTGCGATCAGTACATAGCTGGAGTAATCGTTCCCCATTGTCCAATCCATGTCGACCACTTAGTTGAGTCTCAGATTCGCTAAGCATGCCACCTCTGCAGATGCACTGAGCCTGCCCACTTGCGCGTTCATATCTCCGGTAACCACCACAATATCTGAGATTTTAGCTTGCCGTAGCACAGCATTAAGGGCGTCGTAAAACCTGTCTTTGACGGCGTCGGAGCTACAGTCAGTTGGGGAGTAGGCAGATATGATAAAAAGACATCTATCAACCTCCCGGTTGTGAGACTCCTTCACGAACGTTGCCAGACGAACCGCACAGGGGCAAATATCAACAGGTATTCGGTCAAGCAAGGATACTTCCGCCAGGCGACTTAGAACGATATCAAACCCTGCACATCCAACGCAGCAGCCTCTGGTTCACCAGAGGTGTGTAGCCAGAAGCGAGTGGGGACTGACGGGAAGGTTTGCTTGTGCTCGCATCTTGAAATCGTGTTTCGGAGGCACAGCACACCACTGCCAAGCAAGTCCGGTGTGAGAATAAGAGCGGCTTGTTGACCTGCTTGCTTCGGAGTGCGCACATTGAAGGCGGCCGGATAGACAGGGTGTCGAGGCTTGGAGATTGATTTGAAGGTACCTGACGATGTCAGGGTCATGTGACGAGATGCCGTACGCGAAACCGAGGTAAGACGAACGGAGTCATCAGTCCTACAAGAGAGGTATTATTAGGGTGGGGAGGGCGGGAACAAAATGTATGTAAATAAGGAAGAAGAGGGGCGACAGTAGTAGCCGGGTTTCGCTCACCAGCCCCTGCTGTATGCAGCAAGTTGATGGCATCACGCGACGACCGATGTGGCATGAGGCTATTTGTATATGTGCAGTTCACGGTTGTACGTGGGCTGGGATACTGTCAGGGCACCCATACCTAGACAGGAGGACGATTGGGGTCCTCAACCAAAGCCGTTGGTTCAAAAGCATAACCGCAAGGTAGCGGTGTTCGGCGGGAAATGCAAGTGCATTAGCATTTCGAAAGCCTCGATTCTGTATATCGATCCGTAAGCCCATGAGTCGTCCCTGACTGTCTTCCTTACAGCTTACCTGGAACGTGCCTCAGGTCATCGGTAGTTCCTCGTCGCTGATTGGTTTTTCCTACATCCAATCAACAGTTAGTATTTCCGGCCGAAAACCTCGCTCAATTTCTCACGCCACTTTGGCGGAGTTGGCTTTCCTGTAATCGGTATAAATTTTCAGGCTGTCTAAAACTCGGTTGCTCAATCCGAGGAAATTTTTTGTTCAATCGCAGCATTTACTGTTGTTTTTTTAACTAGGTTTCTCCATGCTGGACCAACGACTTACTGTACCCACCGAGTAAGCACGTCACCGGTGGCTACAGTTGGCTAAAGGTGGCAACAAAAAAACTAGTGTATTTTTTTAAAGCCCAATGAAGCCGAACGGCTGTGGTTTTAAGCTAGCTGAGGCCTATGTGCCGGTTAACTGACTGCGTCGCCGAGTACTCGGACTCCCCACCTAACTTCTGTGGGGTAGGTCATTTTGGCCTTTTAACCAAGCCATTTGTTCTGCAAATTCGGAGCCGAAAACAGCACTCGGCAAGTTCCTAATCGACAGACAGTGATCAGCTCGGCTCAGTTGGGAAAGAGAAGCAACCATTATCATTAAATTCTTTGCCGGTATGAAGGTAATCACTGATTGGTCGCTCAATTCTGTGTCCAACAACCTAACCAAGAAAGATTCGGTCAGGCTGTTGAACCCTTCCGATCTGCACTTCTGCACTTATCGCGTGGATAATATTAATAAAGTTTTGTCCCAACTTGTGGGTGGCATACCGTCTGGTATGATCATACGTTTATAGTCAGAATGAAGCATGACTGGAGGATTTGCGGGTATTCAGCCGAAATTGCAGCAGAAAACCAGGCTGGCCAGAGTTGAGCGAAAATTCATCGGGTGAGAAAGAACTTGTCCCAGAGACGGTTGAGGCCAGATGAAAAATTTGTTCGCGGTAGCAATTGCAGGCTCGAGTGAGCGAGGGGTTGCGGTCGAGATTCGTTGTCGCCGTTTTGGAGCCAGGCATAATAGGTCTTTGGAAGAGTGAAATGATGTCAACATGCAAGCCGGAACACGAACTGCATTGAAAGTTAATGAATTTTGTGGGAAGCACCGAACACAGAGATGGTTAAATTCGAACGAGTAGTTCAACAGGTTGGAATGAATATATATATATATACCACTGGTCTGACATGCCTCGGTATTTGTACAACCCCATAACGGGAGTCACATTTAAGGTCCTCGGGCTGGGGTGTGCAATTCTTTGGGCAGCGTGATGTATTTCAGGCTGGTCGAGGAAACAAGGTGGAACAAAGCTGGTATGGATCGCAGGTTGTCTCGGTCGGTTTGAGGACCCTGTAATTGTAGATCATAGGCCAGGTGAAGTGGATAACAGCCAACTAGGTCATCCAAACTGGGCATTACCGAAGTTCAAAGCTTTGGAAGGTGAGGGAGTGGAATGAGATTAATAAAGCATGGTGCGTTTGAGGAGGCACAAACGGGATAATGTGTATTATTATACGTAGAAAGAAAAACTTGACGTCTGCCGCGATTAGGGTGATCACAGGTGACTATAGGGAATAGGATATAGAAGGATTTGTACTAAATAGACTAGCAACCATGAGTTGGGTTCGCTAACATACGATATTAAATTACAACGGATCCGGTGAATCCCGATATAAGCGCGCAGTGGTTGTGTGGAAATCAGATGTATAAGGGCTGACGGGAGTGAACTTCCAAGATAACCGGTTGATCTAGTGTTCATTACGTGAGTTGGACAGTACCAGGAGAGAAGGTATGGGAAAAAGAAATAGTTATCAGTCCCCAAAGAGCTAGATCAGCTTTAATCTGTGAGTGGTGCAGAGTGACGAAGACTTTCGTTTCCACCACTGGAAGCGGCAGGTAGGTGTGTTCTTTGTTCGGTTACCGAAGTGTAATTATGGCTAAACCAGAGAAAAGTTTGTTTGGTAAAAATCCACTGACGGTGCCAGTGAATCCCAAAATGCATTTCAATGTTATT